TTCTTCTGCTTATTTGCCCATTGGAGCTGTAATGGTGAGCCCCGAAGTTTCGGATGTGATTCACTCTCAGAGCAACGAACTCGGTATGTCAGTTCCTTTTTCTTTATTATTTCTTTCCTTCTTCATTTTGTGTGTTTCTTCTCACCAATTTCCTTTTTATCAGGTATTTTTTCCCATGGATTCACGTATTCCGGACATCCCGTATCCTGTGCTGTTGCAATAGAAGCCCTCAAGATATACAAGTTCGTTCCTATTTTTTTATGTTCCAAATTGGGTCAGTTAGCCGATGCTATGTTCTGATAACATAACTTCATAGCTTATTTTAGAGAATCATCTTGACTGTTGGGGCATGACCTTGGTTCAGCCTATGGGAGTTGTACTAACTCTTAGTAGTCAAAAGCAACAATATATCACTGATTGTCTATTATGCAGGCCGAGTGTCTGTGAGATTTGTCAGTTTCTTTTGATACATCTCTAAATTTCGTATTGATGTTTATACAGGGAAAGAAACATTGTTGAACAAGTAAATAGAATTGCTCCAAGATTTCAGGATGGATTGAAAGCCTTCTCGGACAGTCCAATCATTGGAGAGGTACAGTTCATATTTTGCATAACTAAAGCACATGATAGTTTCAACAACTTGATCTCATTCAATGTACGGTCCTCTTCTGCAGATTCGGGGAACTGGGCTGATTCTTTGTACCGAGTTTACGGACAATAAATCACCTAATGATCCATTTCCTCCCGAATGGGGTAAATCCTATATTAGATTCTGTCTGTTTTCACAAATTCACTACTACCACGAAATGAAAGAGTTGATGTATGACAGCAGAGAAAATGTCCCCGTTTCTTTCATCCAGTAAAATTTGGTCAACATTGAATGTAAATTTCGTGTATCTGACTTGTTATGACCGTGCAGAGACAAAAGGCAAACAAAGACCCCCACACACTTTTATAGACATGCGCATGTTTTCAGCAAAAAGGGCATTTGCATGCTCGCACACTTGCATGCTGCCTAATCCTAATACTAAGATGCATCTTTCATAATCGTTCGAAGTCACTTGTGCAGTCCCTTGAAGCTAGTTATATGTTACTAAGTGGATATTTGCCGCATCGAATTCTCGATTTCTCATTTGGTTTTTGATCGGATGAGCTCCGTATTTCTCAGGAATCGGTGCATATTTTGTGGCACAGTGCGAGAAGCGTGGTATGTTGGTGCGTGTAGCTGGCGATAACATTGCGATGGCTCCGCCTTTCATAATCACTCCCGAAGAGGTCGATGAGGTAAGGTTACACACCGCATTCTCGTGTTCCATGTTCTTGTTTGAGATCTATCCTTCCTCCTGTTTTCCACTGCCTGAAATACTTCAGAATATTGCTTTTGTCCGGTTGCTGTTAGCTTCTCAGAGTGAGATGATAGATCATGATCACGAACACCATCTATCTTTTCATAGCATTTTATTGTTGGGCTTGACTCGATTCTCATCTCAGCTAATAAGAATCTACGGAGAGGCGCTGAAGGCGACGGAGGAGAGGGTGAAGGAGCTGAAATCTCAGAAGAAGTAAATTCTGCAGAAGCCGATGAGATGATGGCGAAAGAACCGGCATGGAGCCTTTGCAATGTAAAACCAAATTGCAAAAACAAATGGATTTTTAAATAAAGAATCTGCGTATCTTCCTCTCATGGTGTGGCGTTATTACCAAAGGTCTCATTCCTTTTGTCTTTGGGTTTCACTTCACCGCTTGCATCCTTACATGGCTTATTCAGGAAAGTTTAAGGTAACGTGAATTCAGTTCCCGACATGAGCGGTTGAACTCATCAAATTGAATGTGAACTTGCTCTCTCAATTTAGTGGAAGATCACTCGATCTCGAATGAAATGATTCTTCCAAGCATTGCAGAGGAAATCACTAGGAAGAAATGCACTTCCTTTGACTTTGTCAACGATCGTCGCGTTATGGATAAGAAGCATTTATATATACTTCTAAACAGTGAATATGAGCGAACCACAATCAATCTTGCAAATGGGTAAGACCCGAGAAAATGCAAAATCCAATCTTTTTCACGTTTCTGAGAGACGATGCATCAGAGCAAGAGCACTCGCTCTGTTCTCGAAGTTCACGCAATCTTTCGACAGAAGAGAGTTGAGATTACAGATGACAGAGATACTGAAACATCGTTTTGCACCGACCAAAGACCGACAGAGGAACCGGAGAAAGGTTCAGAACTTGTCGGGCTTATCGGCTTCCCTCCTGGCTCTCCGCTTCCTGGAACTCAAAGACGATTCGAAGCCGCCGCCTCCTCTCTCATCGCATTCGTCCAGCTCTCTGAGCGATCTCTGCGCGCAGAAGGAGAAGGCGAAAACCCGAAAAAGAGGGGGTGAAAATCACGAAGCTTTCAATGGCGATAAATAATCAGAGAGAACCAGGAAAAACCGACCGTAACGGAGGCTTTCTTTCTTTCCGTTTGTTACCTCCCTGATCTCCGCGAAGCTGACGACGTAGAAGGTGACGGCCGCGGCGGCGGCGACGGCGACGGTACCCGCCACCGGAATCGCTATCTGCATCGCCGCGTCCATGTTCTCTCCGGCACCGACTGCGTTCTTGCACGGTTGAGAGGAACACGACGATGAACGGTGCGCAGTCCTGCAACTTCCACGACCACTGAAGCAGTCCCGCCACGTCTCGCGCGGACAAAATGAACGAACGCGTGAAGGCCGTCGGATCGGGTGCACGTGAGCCCAGTGCATTTCGACCGTTAGATCGCACGGATTATACGCGGGACCCATCAAAATCATACGCTAGGATGTATGGAGCTCGTATAGACGGGGCCAAATTAGCACTAGCTCGTGCTCCCCGAGTTCGAACTCGCTTGCTTTCGGGCGAGTTTATTTTGCGAAAAATATACGATTCAAAAAATATTTTTAAAAAAATAATTATTCATATCAATTATAACAAAAAAAAAATTCGTTGTTAGTGATGAAAACTTTTTTCATTGGCTAACTATTTCAAGTTATGAAATCTGTCATTTTTAGGAAAATGTTTCCATATAATTCATTTTTCGCAAAACAAATGGAGCCTTAATAACATTTGTATCTTGGCACATATATAAACGAAACGTTGCCAGACCGGCATTTTTTATATACTTTTTACCTCCGTGCCAAAAAAATTGCCTTTTTATTTCACCGGCCAAGATGATTTCCACAGATCGATTTAGCAAGGCGCGATTCGGTAATTTAGCCCTCTCGGATTAGATTAAAGGTTTGATGGAAGACGCACGACACCGTCTTGAATGAGTCCGCGTCAACCGTCAACTCGCACGTTGACAAGAACCATTTCTTCCCTTTTCTTTTAGGGTCACCAGCACTTTGGCTATAGCTCGTGTAATCATGGCATTTACCACGAACTTTTTTTTTGTGGCACGTAAAAAAGCGAACTTTGCTTTTGTGCATTACATTTACCCCAATGTATTTAGTCCATGGGCATTTTCGTCTTTTACCTTTTCTTTTTTTTTTTTTTTTTTTTTTCCTTTAGAGTGAGAAGGGCCCTCGCCGGATCCGTGAGGGGCCCTCGCCGGCGTGGCGAGGGTTGCCCGCCTGGGCGAGCAGGGCGGCCCTCGCCCGCCAGCCGGCGGGTCGACCTCACTGAGCGAGCTCGAGGGCGGCTCGCTCGCCCGCCGCGAGGGCGACCTCGCCGGCGCCGGCGAGGTTCGCTCAGCCCTCGCGGCGGGGCAGCAGCCTCGCCCAGGCTCGAGGGCGAGTCGACCCTCGCCGCGTCGGGCGAAGGGTCGACCTCGCACTGAGAGTCGAGCCGAGGGCCTCCGTAGGGATCTGGCGAGGCGCCCTCGCTCGACGTCGGCGGTCGACCTCACCCCGAGGATCGGGCGAGGGCCGCCCTCGCTCGCCCGGCGGCGGACCCGACGCCGGCGACGGGTCGCCCTCGCCCTGGGCGGCGAGGGCGCCTCGCCCCAGGCTCGAGACGGCCGAGGTCGACCCTCGCCCGGCAACCGCTAGGGTCGACCTCGCCGGGAATCGGGCGGCGCGGGCCGCCCTCGCACCGGGCGGCCGGGCCGCCCTCGCTCGGCGGGCGCCAGGAACGAGGGCCCCCTCGTCCCGGATCCGCGAGCCAGGCACGCCGGCGAGGCCCTCGCCAGGAAGGAAAAAAAAAAAGAAAAAAAAAAAGAAAAAGCGAAAAGACGAAAATGCCCATGGACTAAATACGTTGCAAGGTAAATGTGTCATAGCTTCTTTGAGTTCTTGGTGTCACAAGAAAGTTCAGTCATGCGTGGTAAACGAATGTGTCATGATGCTTGGTTGGTTTTTTGGTGTTTTCCCTTCTTTATCCTTTTTCTCCTCCCTCCCAATTCCTCGAATTGTCCTTATTTTGGCGTTTATAATAAGAAGAAAAAATAAAGAATTCTTCAAATCGTCTCGATACGAAAAAAGAAATGGCGCATCTAATTAAAAAAAAAATTCAACGACCATTGGACACGTGTAATTACGTTGGCGGGTACGTAAAACCTTAATTGTTCGCCCTGCTAACCTCCTATAAACCATGCAACAATAAGGGGTCAAAGCTGACTCAGCCCGTTGACTAATCGCCAACTCTCTTCCCCCTCCTCCTCCTGGCCTATAGCTAGTCTGTCGTCGTCGTCGTCGTCGTCGTCGCCGACATGGCCGCGTCATGTGCGTCGCTCGCGTCGAGGTTTCTTGTCGGAGATATATATAGCTAGCCGAACGCCGCAACGCCAAACAATGACGCCTCGTCTCGGAAGAAGCTTGCCATCGCGGTCTTCGACGACGCATATCTCCGAGCGAAGGAAACGCCTCACGCCACCCGCTTCATCTTGATCCTTGGCCCTCCTCCTCCCTCCCTTCCTTCCTTCCTGATCCTTTCGTTTGCCGTATCGGCTGGGTAAGTAATCATCGACAATCACGACCCTTTGGGCTTGTTTTTCGTTTCTGGGTTCGCCTTTCCTTCGGCGGGGAGTCGGTGCTCCTCCGGATGGGCGTGGTTTTGCTGGGTCTTTCGATTTGGATTGGCTTGTGATGTGGGGGCTCGCGTTCTTGGCGATTTCGTTTCGTTTCCTCGCGCTGCTCTTGCTTTCCTTGTATGAATCGATGCCCTCGTCGATTTTGTCTCCTCTCAAGTCGGGCTCTGTTGGGATTCTTGATACGGTTAGGAAGAGCGCGGGCGTGTTGTTTGAGCACGTGCGCAGGGTCTTTTCGGTGATCCGGTTAGGTTCCTCTGTTCTTGCCTTCGGATTGATTGTTTATGTGGGTCGTTCCGTTGGGGGTTCTGTATTAGAAAGTGTGTAACTGTTCGACGATTTCCTGTTGTTTCTTGTTTTATACTGCATGTTTTGGGCGATTCTGGGATGATCTGGTTCGTTTTTATCCTTGGTGGACTTGATACGGAGCGTGGTTTCTTTGTAGCATGACGGAAAGCTGTAGCAATGCGAGTCCGAGCTCTAGCTCGAGTTTGAACAGCAGCTTCCATGACGATACGGAGGACGACCAAACCATCGCGGCCATCTTGGCGGAAGAGGAGAGCTCTAAGTCAGATGGAAAGCTTGGGAAGAGACTATCTCACTTAGATTCTATCCCGGTATGTTCTTGCTATCTACCTGATCCCTTTCTTTCGTAAGAAAATTCATGTCTACCACTCCCCTTGAGGCAATTAAGGAGGTTCTTTTTTCTTCTTTTTGTTTGATTATGGTATTATTTACTCCAACCTTCGTCGATTACACCGACGTGATAGCTACAATTTGAATTGCTATCTATGCAACTGCTAGAAATTTATACTCAGTCGTCGAGTAATACATGTTGTTGGATTGTAATTCCTAGAGATTCACTTCATTGATGGTCATTGCTTCTCATTCAGTGTAGGTTTCAAGACATCTTCGAATGTTACATTATTTTTTGTCTTCAAACTGGACTATTTTAATAGCACTAGCTGATGTCAAAGTTTAAAAATTCTCTGACTACTGGAGGTTAATCCATATACTATGCCAATCTAATTCTAATGTTTCAGCTCCAAAATATGAGTAGACACATTAGCATACAGTGGTTACTGGTTTCCTTGAAGACAGTGTGCGTAGGCACCATGCGCAAATTTGACCTATTTTGGGGCTTTGATCCTAGGACTTGTACTTGTTGACAGATGGCTTCATAAGAATTCAGAGAAGCAGCAACAATTTTTTTGCTTTACCATCGCTTGGTAATGTTGAGTTCAGGAGTGTTGAAGCCCGTATTTTGCGCCTCCACTCTCACTGACACTGCCATTAGGCAGAATACCTAGTAGCTTGTTATGCCATTGCTGATTTGAGCTGTGGATAGTAATTACAAGGGGCAGATGATTTACAAGTTTACTATGTTGGCAGCACACTCCTCGGGTAATTGGAGAGATTCCCGACGTGAACGAAGCAACATTGGATCACGAGCGGCTCTCTGAGAGGTTTTGTGACTTATAATGCGGTCGATCATGTTTGGAGTTAGAATATAGCAATACTTTTATGCTAAGACTGAGTGGGGTTCAGCATGGTCCTCTTTATGCAATATCATTTTCCTTGTATTCACCTATTCATCATCAACTAATTTTTGTTTTATTGAACTGAAGATTGTCATCAAGATTAATCGCTTGTTTTTGTGTCCTGGATATCCAGATACGTGGCCCTTTTTTTGTTTTTTTCTTTGGCTTTTTGTGTTCTCTTTGTTTCATGCAATAATACTGAGAAGCCTCACTTAAAACATCCGTTCGATATGACAATTGCTGTCCCCTTCCCCTTTATCTATGATAGTTATCGATTCAATATGCTGAGATGTGAAGTCACGTATGCCGTGCATGTTCATTTGTCTTAGGTCTCTTATACATTGCATCTTAGGAGTGCATTCTTTGTGGGATTTTACTTGCTGGATGATGGTTTTGCTTTTCCCCTTCTCTCAGATTAGTGACTTATAATCTAGAAGAAATGCAAATTGAAGGTGATGGGAATTGCCAGGTTTGGCTTTAGAGATAATGCTTTCATGGTTTGTTACTATGGAAAACCAATTTTTGATGCTATTTCAAATTGCACAGTTCCGCGCATTAGCTGATCAATTGTTTCGCAATTCAGACCATCACAAAATCGTAAGGAAAGAGATAATAAAGCAGGTATGATTGATACTGTTATCCCAAGGTTTTTAATTGTTTTCCCCTATGCTCTTCTGCCTCTTCCGAGTTTTCTTGGAAGAGATGTGATCAAATGCCTCTAAGATTGTTCCTTACCAAAAAAAAAAAATGCCTCTAAGATTGCTTATGTAGCTCCTGTCTATTAGAATTTAGAAGTTTTCATCTTATGACCTTGTCTGGTTTGATTCCAATTTTCATGTTTTTCCAGCTAAAGCACGAGAGGAAATTGTATGAGGGTTACGTGCCCATGAAGTACAAGAGCTATTTAAAGAAGATGAAAAGGTTAGATATCTTCAGTAACGTTGCTTTGTTTCCATATGCTAATTGTGATTTTTGCAAGTCTGATTTTTTTTTTACTTCTGGATGCCACCAGATCTGGAGAATGGGGAGACCATGTCACACTGCAAGCAGCTGCAGATCGTGTGAGTGGAAGTTTTGTTGTTGGACATTTTTTTCTGGTCTAGTGAACATACCTTGGTGAAAGGCCTAATGTTTGTTCAGGTGGCATTGCTGCTGTCCAGTTTATTTTTACGTAGACTTGAGTAACCATTTCTGTCATGATATGAATAAACTATACCCATTTCTGACGTCAGTTTTTGTATATGGGGATACAATTTCTGACATCAGTAACTTTGCAAAAATCTTTCATAGCATGTTAACTTATGCAGGATCCTGAGTTAGTAGCATCTTAAGCTGAATGACCTTGTTTTCATAGCATTCAGAGCTTTGTTAAGGAATAATCGGCAAACATGAGTTTTGTTCCAGCTCTAATTGGATGACTTTCTTCAATGTAACTATTCTTAACCTTTCAGATGTACTCCTTTAAATTGACTTTGAGAAAGACATCTTTTCTGTCGGACTAGCTATTTCAGAGTGACTGTGGGTCACGATTACATTTAAGTTACCAAAAATAAGAATAGTAACAATATATTTGTTTCAAGATAACTAAAGAGTCCAAAATCAAACTCAATTGAATAAGGAAAGCTTCTCCAATTGGATGGCGATTAACCAATTGGATGGCGAATCTTTTCAAGTCTGGATATTATACAGAGCTTCTCCTCCATCACTGTCTTCATATTATATGAAGCTTCTGTCACATGTTTACATCATTTTGCCATACCTAGGCTTTCTATGTGCTTTTTTTTTTGTGTTTCTAATTTGGTCACTTTCTCATTATATTTGACTAGAATTTTTCACGCTATTCTTCATCACGATCTTAGTTTTCCCCTCTTTTAGTAAATTGAAATGCCTTTCTATGATGACTTGTTGACTTATTCATGCTCGTTCGGTAATATTTGTAGTTTGCAGCAAAAATTAATTTGGTGACCTCCTTCAAGGACACTTCATACATTGAGATCGTTCCAAATGGGAAGAATCCTACAAAAGGTAAATAATAAATATTGTGACAATTCAGTAACCTCCCTGCATGTTTGAGCCTACTGGCTGTCCCCGTTCCTGTTGTAATCTGTCTACCCAAACATGGTTTGTTTCTCTTTTTCTACTTTCTTTGTGAATAATGATAATACTGGTATAAAGAGCTGCTGTGAGCCTATGACTTTAAATGTCTACTTTAACAATGCATCTTGTGCATCACATTGTCAATTTTTGTCGATATGGATGGCCTCTTTGCCTTCACAAAGCTACGGATGACGACATAGCATCGAAATTATATAAAGTGAATAAAAAGCAGTACCCTCCGTGAGATATTGTGGGATCACTACCAACTACTCTATGAGATATTATGGGACCACTGCCAACTGTTCTAAAACCTTAAGCTATTAGATGAAGGTGTGGTTTATTATTTAAATATTTTAACACTCTCCCTCACACGTAGGTTGGACCTTGGCCTAAGCCTAAAGCGTGGAAATATAATTGGGGAGGCAAATAGGGGGAAAGATTTGAACTTGGGACTTCCTACTCCGATACCATTTGAGATTTTGTGGAACCATTGCCAACTATTCTAAAAGCTTAAGCTATTAGATGAAGGCGCGGTTTATTATATGAATATTCTAACACCCTCAATAAATAATTAAAGCCGCTGCAGTGGCCCTTATTTTTTTCTGGAAAATCTTAATCAAGTGGTTTTTCATAACTTCTCATTGTTAAAGTAGATGCCTCTTCATTCTCTAAATAAAGATCCATCACTCAAAAAATTCTATTTTATGTCAAAGCAGGTTCTTTTTCCATTTTGGATTTTTATTGGCTACGTGTTTTTATGACTATCTCGGTTTGATTTTTACATTTGTTATTGTGGGACATATATGTTAGTATTACTTTGGTAGCTCTTAACTCCGATGGACCACTAAGTGGCCATCTCTGCATGATACTTGCCGGCTGTACATTGTACTGTTTTTGGCAATTTATGTGAGAGACCTGGTTGAAGTGCTGCTTAATTTTATATGCTGGCTTATCACGGCCTTCTTGTGACTCCAGAGTTGTGGCTCAGCTTTTGGAGTGAAGTACACTACAATTCATTATACGAAAGAGGAGGTGAGGATGCGCAACTTTCATATCAGTGTTCTGCTTATGGTTACTTCTCATGTCTCCAACTTTTGGCCCTAAATAACAAAAGATACTTTGGTGGTTTTTGTTTTCCGCAGATGTTCCTGCTAGAAAGCCACGAAAAAAGCATTGGCTTTTCTGAAGAGTCAATGTTATCATGAGGTCAACCTGCAGCATTGGCAGCTATTAGTTGAATGCATTGTTTGCAAGTGCTGTGCTATCGGTGTTATTTCCACTGCCGAGAAAACTTAGTTTGGAGATATGTTGCAGATCATCATTTTCTGTACATAACAGGAGTCCTAGATCGAAGAAGACAGACACTCATGTACACATGACGACCGAGAGTTTGCGGAAATTACTTTCATTGTATACCATTCTAGTTGTTTTTACATTCTTTGGACAAAAAATATGTTGGAGGAAGATAGCAAACTAAAGATGTAAAGTTGTTTGAAGGAATTGAGAGTTGAAAGGTCGTCCTCTCTATATTTTAGGCATTGTATTTATTCTTACGTAGCTATGGAGTGGTCAGTATCAGGGACCAGTTTCAGGCACTTTGACAGGGTAGGGTAACAAAACCAAGTGTTTCGCGAATTCCCCAAAGACATGAGGACATTGTTGCCAATTCTCTAGCTTTCTAGCCGAAAGCATAGTGAAAGATAGATTCAAAGAAGCCGATGTATCTCACGTTCAGAGAATTTCAGTATCCAACATTGTTGTGGCTCATCTTATCAGTCGGGGCAATAAAGCCGGAGTTTGCAAAGATTCGTTCCTTCCTTGAACTAGAAAGCATTGTCGAACCAGAAAGAAAGCATAGCGAAATCAGAATCAGGATTTCATAGGACTCTGATGATTCGGCGTCGTAAGCCATTCTTTTCCATGGCATAGCAACAAACTGCTACAGGAGAAGAAAGGAAGATTCAAAGGATATACTTTGAGTCAGCCTTAACTCTGAAGAAAATGCCTCAATGGTAGCAGAAGGAAAGCATAGCGAAATCAGAATCGGGACTTCATAGGGACTATGATGATTCAGTGTCGTAAGCCATTCTTTTACATACCATAGCAACAAACTGCTACAGGAGAAGAAAGGAAGATTCAAAGGATATACTTTGAGTCAGCCTCAGTCTGATGAAAATGCCTCAATGGTGGCAAAAACCCAAGACAACAGTAGTTTTGCTTGGAGACAGATATTGTGGACTAAAGGGGACTTCAAGGACACAGTTCAGTGAATAGAGAATTGATACAAGGTTACTCAGACATCGAAAGTAATTTCAAACATACAACCCAATAATCACGGGTCAATCCCCATGTTGTTATTGTACACGTTAGCCGAACAAGCTTCTAAATTATGAATTAGAGTTCATGCCCTTCGTGATCTCACCTAATATGCGAAGACGGGATGATCCATCAAGTCTCGAAAGATTTTATCGAATCTTTGGACGCAGATTTTCGCATCCACGTGGATACTGCTTTTTCTTTTGCAAGTGCATTCACTTTGCTGTGGAGAACTTTGCTATGTCTCTGTCTTTTTGTTTGGAGTTTTCCATTTATTCTTTTCATGCAGATGCCTTCCAGTACTGCCTTTCACTTTAAGAAAGAATTTAAGGAATCAAAGAGTAACATGTGTTTAGCAAATTGAATAGTCTAGTCAGATCATCACGCAATGAAAGCATTCCGTATATACGCAAATCTGAAGTTCATCAGCCAAAGCATTGTTGCTGTCAAACCAGTCCGACACGCCGCCCCCCCCCCGCCGACAGCAAAACGCTAGCGGCGAGCGTTGACGTGTATCGGAACACGTATGCGGACCACTCGACGTAATGTACACGTTGGAATATACGGTGCTTCTCCTACACGGCGGTTGTAATAAATTCATTATATTCCTATAAGAAACTACCGCTAAACTCATCAGCTGCAAACAGAGGAAAGAAGAAATAGAAAAGCTCTTCCTTTAATGGCTAAAACTCCAATAATCCTTCCTCAAGCAATCTTGGAGAGAGTTTGTTGTTGGGTGATCAAAAAAAAAAAAATGACGTCCATAGTCAAATCATCAGTCAAAAACCTGAGTTGCTCTCAGCCCTCTCAGTCTGACACGACACGAACATGGAAAGTAAATATATTCAGAACAAGGATGAGCTAAACACATGACACGCACACAATCTCTCCGATCTTTTTCTTCTGATGATGATGATGGAGACCCATTAGAACATTGCAGAAGACGACACCTCTCTCTCTCTCTCTCTCCTGCGAGTTTTGTCTTCTACTCAATGGCTCCAATACAAGACACTGCACCGTTTCGCTTTTCTCGTCTCGTCCCACGGTAGATCGATTTCGGTGGTTGCCCATTCTCTCCCACGCCCAACCCATTCCAGAATTGCTTCTCTATCCCCTTCTGCCGGCCGCCAGGAGGTGTTCGCAGTTTCTCTCTCTTACAGTGTACGAGGTGGTCAGTTGCCATTGCTTGTTCTTCCGATTCTCCATGTCTGTGCTGTATCTAAATTTGTTTCTGCATATGCGGTGTTTCTTTCCCTTAGCTGTTTGTCGGTGTTCTCTCTTCTTGTTGTCATTTTTCCACTCAATTACGCGTCTGCTACTGATTTTTTCGCCTTTCCTGTGAATTCGCCGACATCGTTAGACTTGTATATGGATCTCTCGGGTGCAAATCTTGCCATCTCTTTGAACCAAAACATTTCCTTTGATTTGTCGAGTTCTTTTCGTCGAGAATTTGCTTTCTGTATCGAGTTCGCCAATTCAAAGATCGAAACTTTCTCCAGTAAAACTGGACAAGGCCGGGTCTGTGATCCTGCGCATATCACTTCTACTTCAGAAAACCATTGAATGACATCCATATTGAGGGGCATAAAAAGGGTTGAAAGAGAAAATGTTGTCCACCAATTCAAGATCAAAACTTTCTTCAATAAAACTGGACAAGATCGGCTCTGTGATCCTGCATATCAGTTCTACTTCAAAAAGCCACTGAATCACTTCCAAATTGAGGGGCTAAAAAGGGTTGGAAAAGGAAATGCTGTCCTGTGATCTAGTTCTGAGTTATGATTGCCTGACTGTCAGTGTTGTAATTGGCAGTGATTTAGTTCGCATCAGATGGTGGTGGAGACTAGAAGAAGCGGCGGCGGCACCGAGCTGGTTCGGAAAGTAGTACTGGGAATAGGGTACTGGGTTCAGGGGCTGAGGTGCTTCCCATGGATGACTGTCAGCTTCTTCCTTAAGGATGGCCTCAATGTGGATCCCTCCACCCTCCAGATCCTCCAGAACTCGGCCAACCTTCCCATGGTCGCCAAGCCTCTCTATGGGGTGGTATCCGACGCGTTTTATATTCGGGGCCAACACCGCCTGCCCTACATTGCTCTCGGAGGTAAGTGTTTGGAGTCCGTTTGTTGGTCCAGCATCTACGTTCTCTTTGTTTCAATGAAGAAATATGCGGATGCTGCTTTGGATATTAGGGGTAAAGCGAAATTATAGATGAAATTAAAGTGAACTATCTTGATGCTTCACGCTTCACACCTTAGTTTCCCATGATGTTCAACTTGCTGCAATTTGTGTGTGTGCATGAATCAACTTGAGCAATGATAGATGGCAGATTGCCGTGGGGCTCAATGGACAAGAACTGTGTTCCTCTATTTAGCTGGTTAAATATGGATTTGAGAGGACTATCTCTGACAAATAGTAATGTATTATTTCCTCAAAAGTATGGCATAACTAAATATAAGAGGCACCTAGGTTATGGATAGGATATTTTCCCGGTTCTACAGTTCTTAGAGACACATGAATTGATTAAGTAGAAGTTCATTTTTCTGACTGTGAAAATCTTCTGAGAGAACAACATGAATGAAATAATCACATGCCTCCTTTTGTTAAATAGAGACCTTTATTTTCCTATCATGGTTTAAACTTCAGAGATTTTAAGTCATTCATTCATCGTAAGTCAAAGTGATATCATTGTATCGTAATATTAATAGATTTGCTTCACCGCAATCATATATGCTGGCGTATCTATTCGGATGCATTCAACTGAAGTCATTTTCTCTCATCTGTGTATGCAGCATTCTTGCAAGCAGTGTCCTGGTTAGCCATAGCAATTCTCTCCCCATCAAGTATAACGATCATCTCGATTTATCTCCTCCTAAGTAACCTCGGCGCTTCAATAGCAGAGGTAGCAAATGATGCCATTGTAGCAGAGGTAGGAAAACAGCCTGCTTCGTCTTCAAAGAAGACTAGGTCGCCTTCGTCCGGTAACCTCCCATCATTTGTTTGGATGGCTTCCTCTGCCGGTGGTGTCCTTGGGAACCTTCTCGCCGGGGTTGCTATTGGGAGAATTTCTCCGCAGATAATGTTTCTGTTTTTTGGCCTTCTCCTCGCAGTGCAGTTTCTTGTTACAATCAGTGTCCATGAAAGCGCTCTTGACCTCCCTAAAACTGTGACCAAAGCAGGGATTAGGAAGCAGCTTTCCGATCTCTTGTCTGCACTAAAAAGACCTGAGATTGCTAATTCCATAATCTGGCTTGCAGCATCCCATGCAGTTATTCCAGCTCTCACTGGGACCATGTTCTTCTACCAAACACAGTATCTCAAGATCGACACATCGGTATTGGGGATCTCTAAAGTGTTTGGCCAAGCCGCAATGCTCCTGTGGGGTATGGTTTATAATCGTCATCTGAAATCAGTCCCACCAAGGAAACTGATGTCTGCAATTCAGGCCATGATGGCCTTGTTCATGGTTTCAGATATTCTCTTCGTCAAGGGTGTCTACAAAACAATGGGAGTTCCGGATTCATTGTATGTGGTCATCTTTTCGGGGGTCTTGGAGGTTCTCTTCTTCTTCAAAATTCTACCCTTCAGCGTCCTAATGGCGCAACTCTGTCCACCGGGGTGTGAAGGATCTTTAATAGCTTTCGTCATGTCGGCCATCGCCTTAGCATTAATAATCAGTGGATTCCTTGGTGTTGCGCTTGCATCATCTGTTGGTGTCACAGGAGATGATTTTTCAGGACTTCCACTGGGTCTCGCAATACAAGCGGTTTGCACGCTGTTGCCGCTATTTCGATCATCGTGGATCCATGATGATACAAGATCCAAACCCAGGAGTAAAGAGGAGTAGTTTCTATAGTAGTGATGCTTCATCACTTGCAATTCTTTTACACGATTCAATTAGATATGCATCAATAAACTGTCACATAGGGATATTTAGGTGGTAGACACTATGAGCTGTCGTTGTGACAAGGTGTATCTTTGTAATTAGTCCTCCTGAAGCTGTCGTCATCTCCTTCAAAGGTTTAAAAGATCTCTCTCTCCAACAAAGGTAAGAAAGATTTCTTTATCCAATGTCGTTGACACGATCATTTATTGAGCCCTTGATCGAATAGAATCTAGTACTGAAGCAAACTGTTCTTTTGTTGGAGAATTCTGTATGTGATCTGGCAATTGTGTGAAGCTGGATTGAGTTCTGGTTGATGGTGCCTGGCCTCTTAGACATTTTTACAGTGTTGGCTGACACCTGCATCCAGAAATCTCACATGACTGAAAATATTTTGGTCATGTCTATTAATTTCCCTGATTTCCGCGCGGATGAAGTTTAATTATCGCAGATTACAGAACAATGATGAAGGCAAGATTGAATTCTGTTCACCGGTTGTCCATCAGAACAAGGATGTTCTAAAAGAGTAATTCCGGCAAATGAAGTTTCATTTGAAAATTTGTCTTGCACTAAAATCTGGAGGATGTTTTAAAATCAAGGATCTGATGTTTTGCAGGGAATCTTGCAGTCCGCGCATAATACCTTATGGTTCCTAGTATGGATCCTTTGATATTCTTCCATTGTGTGGCTGCTTATGATTAATTGCACTGATTAGACGCCAACTCGATAGATTTCATGGCAATCCGGACAACGAACAACTTTAGTTTTCCCTTGCCATTATTCCATAAAGTATTAAACTTCTGCTAGAAATGCAGATGACCAAAAGCGAAGAGATGAGATTTTTTCAATATCCTAGAGAGAACTTCTGCTGATGTTGATACCAATTTGAAGTCTTTGGACAGTTCTCATGTACTATGTTCCTGAACTCTGAGATGTGATGAATATGATAAGATGTCGCATTTTGCAGCTTACTATGGTTATGAAGACTGTCTAACTGTTGATGAGTCGAAGTGCCGGATATCTAGTATTGGTGATAAGTGATCACTCTACTGACCCTTGAATATGCCCCAAGTACACAATTAGTCACTACTTTTAATACAGTTTAGATATACAGTCTGATTGTTCCAAACTCTGCTTTTGTTTCTGGGCAATCCATCGTTCCATTTTATCCCCTACCTCACAAGAAAATGGTGAAGTATGATGTCTGGATAATGAGCCTAAAGGTTTTCCTATTGATGATATCGATACTGAGGATATGTTCGAGGAATCCCAGATGTTGTCAGAGTAAAGGATCATTCCGATTCGAGCGGATTTTTCCCCCAACTAACGAAGAGAACTACCCGTAATAACAAACTTGCAAAATGGATCTGTTTATCATAGAGAGATTCGTTGTTCATGATCCTGCTTTACCCAGGAGCAGAACCTAATTCTACCATTGTGTTTACACCAAGGAAAGAATATGACGTGTGTGAGTTGAAACGGAGTTACCGATCCGCAGACATGTCAATCATGACCATTATTCTGCCTTGTCACCAGGTTCTGCAATCTCTCCTGGAAATCTCTAAATTTCAGGCAATTCAATTGATCATCAAACATGTAAAAAGTCTGCATGATTTAGCGCGGCTGGGAAAGCAACCTCTTATATCCAATCCAACTCCGCAACTGGACCAACCACCTCACTTTCAATGTGTGACAGTTGGAGGGCCATAACCATTTCTATGCGACTTCTGCCATCTCCATGCAATCTTAAGGCTTAATTGAAGATCCGTATACTGAGCCGTCCAATTCAGGTCTTGCCTTATTTTCGAAGGATCGCTGTAAACTTCGGCATAATCCCCAGGCCGACGATCGAGATATTCGACTTTTATGTCGACCCCCGTCGCGATTTTACACGCCTCGACAAACTCCTTCACCGATTTACCTGAGACAGGAGAGACCAGAAGAGCTTCCAGTAAGCGGTAGCAAATATAGAGGAGCAAAGTTCGACAGACCTTAATGCACATTAGAGCTTAACATTTGAGAGAATTAATTTGTTCAATGAGAAAGGGTGAACATGACTACTTAACATGTTGAGGGTTACACTATATAAGATTTTCAAGACCTTTTCCTGTGCCGACATTGTAAGTCTTCACTTGTCGAGATTCGGCATTGGCCAGAGCTTTCATGTGAGCGTCAATGAGGTCATTGACATCAATATAATCCCTGATGCAAGTGCCATCAGGAGTGTTATAGTCTGTCCCTCTTACCTAGAAACATCATCATGAAGTCAATATCTTTATGTTCTTCATTTTTATTCCAGGTTTCACAGGATATTACCATGAGGAAATATAAGTCATACCTTCAACCCAGTAATAATGCCCGAGGCGGCATCAAAACAAGCACCTGATATCCGACCATGTTCACGGAGTTCCGGTCGGGGAGCTTCACCTAATCTGCCTTCTGGATCTGATCCGATGACATTAAAATATCTGAACATGTAGTAGTTTGTCGATTAGTAAAAGTTTGAGCTCTCTGCTGAGGACTAAAAGATACCGCGAGTGATGTAAATTTGCTGCTTGTACTTTTCTTTCATTATTTGACCTCTACCACCTTTAGGATTCCTCGGTGAAAGAAAGAAAAATTAAGAAAAACGACAGATGATTTAATTGATGTACACAGAGCCACAAACCGCAGGATCACGACGGCCATGTCAGAATTCTTGGAAAAATCCCGTATAATATCTTCTGCCATCTTTTTGGCTTTTCCATATGGATTGATGGGGAGCTGCACAGTGCATTTGGTAGTACAATCATTTTCTACACATATCCAGAGATTTGCCAATTTGAAGAGGAAATTTAGTATCGTATCACGTTTATGTTCACACAACGTTAGTAAATGACAGTAACGCTAGGTACTCGATTGAGTTGCACTGGCATCAGCGCATCATTTCAGCATCATCAGCATAAAATAGAGCAGAAGCTGTATACCATAAGAAACTTACTTGAGGAGTTTTTTCAGTGATGGGCATCTTCTTTGGCTCTCCATACGTTGCGCAGGTACTCGAGTAGATCAATTTCTTCACACCATGGGAAGCCATTGCCTCTAACACTACCAAAGTATTCGATGTGATATTATGGTAGTACCTGCCATGTACATCAAAGTTACCTTCAGGTACTTCGAAGTGACGTACTTGTATCCATTCAACAACCACAACAAAAGATGTTCTACCTACGTCTCGAAATTTGACTGGGATGTCAATTTTCTAAGAAATGATGAGCATAATACTGCCATTGCCAATCTTAGTGAGGGAAACGTTTTTCATGGTGTGACGGCTGTTATAGATGAACTCAATGCTGAGAGAGCTAGTAAAAGCACAACGATGGCCTAAAATTGTTGGTGTGAAGTGTGTGAAAACCTGGGTCTCTCATTTGTCCTTTACTTGGATTAGACCAGGTAGTGGAACAAATATAGAAAGCATAAGCTTCCAGTTCAAAGTAGTTCTTATGCTCACCATGAGAATGTCATATAATGAATAATAAATAACCTAAGATCTATTTTGTTAGACCTTCGAAATCGTGAACAGCATGCCTCTTTTTGGTTTCAGAAACTGGAATTACCTAAGTGGATCCAGTGTGCTTTCCCCAACATAAGCTACAGCCGCAAAATGAATGACTGCATCAAATGCATTCTCTGCAAAAATTTTGTTGACCTGCCATTTGAATTTAAGGAGAAACAATCGAATTTTCCCCTTCTGGGTTAATTGGAAAAAAGTGATTCAATAAAAAATAAAGTCAATATGTTTGATGAATTTTCCCATCAGGAGGATACTGCTTGTGGATCTCCCAGGTCTGCATTAATAAATTGAAGACGACCAGGCTCCGGAAATAGCTTCTCGAGAACTTTAACCGCACCTATATTTCCACGTGAAAGATTGTCCTTCAAAAGCAAAGAGAAGTTGTTGTTTGTTGATATGCACTTAAACTTTTAGAGTAAAAACATTAAAAATGAACGCTGCACATTTCTGAACATGCCGCACCACTATTGTTACTCGATGTGAATCTTTTAATAAGCGTAAGGCAGCATGAGAGCCTATATAACCAGCACCTCCAGTCACCAGCACGTGTATCCCCCCTGCTTTGTGCTGCTGAAACAGGCCATATAAAGTAGAGTGAACGAAGATATATCATGCAAGAAAAGAAACAAAAAGAATCTGTTTGCAGTATTTTGACTCAGCTATTCATACCTCTTGCTGCGAAGGAGTAGGGAGAGAACTATTAGAATTGTCCTCCCGATTTCCAGAAGTGGACTGGTCATAGGATGAAAGGAAGAATTTGATAAGATCTTGGAAAATTCGTCCGCTTGGTGACATATATTATCAACTGAAATAATGGTCAATTGAGTCCCAAGGAGTCAACATGGATCGAAAGAGCCATTCAACCACAGATAAAAATGTTTTGAAGTGTAAGATTCGACTTAGTCAGGAACGCTGTCATCCATCTAAATTCGTGCGAGTAGTTAGTATTGGATATATGGTATGAGAAGTATTTGCAGGAAGCAACTGCTGTTGAACTTATACTAAACAATATGCACAGAAGGCACTCATTTTCATTAAATTGTCAAAATTCGCGTCGTACTAGGCCGGGACGATTGTAAAGGGTTGGCTGTCTCAGCATCGCGATCCCGAAGATGGTAAGAGCAGAGGCCAAAAGTACTGTTCCAACAAGAATGCTCTTCTGCTTCAGGTCGAAAACATCCATGCCTACAAATGTAGCATCAATTAAGTTACTGTTAAGCAGCTTATTGGATTACATGCATTGTATGCGATATGCATAAGCAACCTCACACTCATATTTAGGTTATCGATGCAAAGAAAAAAAAGGAAATCTCTCGAAGTAATAGCCAAAATATCTACTTCAAGAAACAATCAAGTCATGATTGACAGAGGAAGTATTTGCAAGCCTGATATTCAATTCATCATCCCAGTGATCAACTCGACTTCATGTTCGTTGAAATATGTACCTTACTCCTTTTCCTTTCAGAAAGTGACATCGCCCAATTTTAATATGAGACGAGTCAATTGAGACTAACAAAGAGAGCATTTGAGAGTTCAGCATCCTAGACAATTACATGAATCTGACATGGAGAGTTACACAAACAAAAGCAACTGAGATTTTTTTTCTTGGCCAAAAGAAACTGAGCGTTGACATACCACGAACTCAACCATCCCATGCCCCAAGCAGAATTCAAGCGCTGAAAAGCAGGGAATTATGATCGTCGAAACAGATAAAGAAAAGAAAGCCAGAAAGGCAAAGAGAGTTGTGGAGTGAAAAGTTGACTTTTCAAATACCACAGAAGCAGCAATCTTTATCTACACTGGATGAGAAGGACAAAATCAGCAAGCACCAACAGTCGTCTTGAGCGACCAAATCAAACTAAAACACACATAGCATCACAAGATCATCCATAGAAAATCGACACCAATCGAATCGTGCACGGAACCGATCGGACGAGAAGTCTTAGCCAAAGCAGCAGAAGCATCACCAGAAAAGGCAGAGAATTAAACATCGAGAGAGCACCCCGGCAACAAACATGTCTGTGAACAATACGTGATTGAATGGAATTTGACCACCATCCAAGACAAACTTCAGCAGAAGAAAAGCAACACACCCTTAAGTTCAGAATTCATGGATGTATCATGTACCTGAAGGTCCCGAACAAGACTCGGTATGACTTCAGAAGGGCGCTTGTTGCAAGAAACCTCGGAAACTACGAGCTCTGTGCATTAGAAAGACACGTCCCTGACCATCAATAGGAGGCTGGAAAAAGAGAATTAAGGGTAGGACAGAGAGAGAGACACCCAGGTGGGAATTTGGAGCAAGTCCTGGTCTTCTGGGTCGTCACTTCCAATGCATCGGCTTGGACAATGGAACCGTAACGTTCCAACGTTGGACTCATATGCTTCCATTCAAGAAAGGATCAGCAAGAGACTTATTGCTCCACTTTTGGTTATAAAGTCAACGACCCACGAAACAATCCCTCAAGAATTCGATCGAGCGCCAGCCGCCGAGTGCATGTGCGTTCTTGGCTCGAAATCAAGGTCCAAGTGGGGACCGAGTCACGGCGTTTCGCATCCTCTTTAAGGCAACTTCCAGAGTTCAGATAGGTGGGGGACAGGATTATCGAGATATTTTTGTTTCCTCGCATCTTGTCTGGTTACTTTTCTAGTTCAAATGGGATGTTTGATTTCGTATGGAGTTCTAAGATATTTATCTTCATTTATTTTGTTATATTACATCGAATTTGCTGGTTGGACCCTTAGGTTGGTAAGTTAGTATTGGCTAAGACAAAAAACTTTGTTGGTAAATTCAAGATGTTAGGGATGTCCGAAAACAAAAAAAAAAATTGGAAAATTTATTTTTTTAACTCTTTTTCTTCTTCATTTTTTTTGTTTTTTTTGCAAAAGGGTCGAAACTAGTGTCTGTCTTTTCTAAAAAATAGTTTATTTGGCAGATAGCTAATTAGTTATTGTGTCAATGAGTTGTCTATTTCTTTTCTTTTCTTTTTAATTTTGTACTAGGCAACCATTATTCTAAAAATAACCAAAACACGAGTAAGAGTGAAAAGAATCATCCACTACGTTTCTGTTCGTTTCGCGGAAAATGTTATGTTTCTGGAAAATGGCACAATTTTCCGGTGTTCGGTTGAAATCTGAAAAAGTCTCGAAAAATATTTTTTGTTGTTCGGTATGGAAAAGATTTTCTTCCTTGCTATACTTTTAATACTTTTTTATTTTTTAAAAATATTTTTAATTTTCTTTTTTTTCCTTCTTCTTCTTCCTCGGCCGGTCGCAGGCCACGGCGGCGGCCGGCGACTGGCCACAGGCAAGCTTGAGCCTCACTACAGGCTGGCGAGGCTCCATCTCACTTGATCTGGCGAGGTTGAGCTTGCCCGAGGCCTAAGTTCGCCGGCCTCGGGTGAGCTCGGCTTCGCTGGATGAGGAGAGGCTCGACCCCATCGGAATCTGGCGAGGTCAAGCCCCGCCGGCCTGTGGCGAGGCTCGAGCTCGCCTGTGGCCGGTCGCGCGGCCGCTAGAGAAAGAAAAAGAAAAAAACAAAGATAATTAAAAATAAAAAAAAATAGAATTTTAAAAAAAGAAAATAAAAATAATTATAATGAATGATGAAAGAAGGAGGGGGAAAATGTTTTCCTCTTTTCAAAAAGTGAAAAATATTCTCCTCATTTTTTAAGGTGTTTTGTCCATTGAGCGAAAATGTTTTCAATGACTAATTTATTTTCCGTGAAACGAACACCAGAAAATCCGGAAAATGTTTTTCAGGAAGTTATTTTTCGTGAAACGAACGGAGTCTACTTTTAACAAATGCATTCGATTTAATTATAACTTTAATCAGCCGTGTATTTTAGCTGCTCAACTTTTGTTTTATTTAGTGAATCTGATAGTCCAATTTTTATTTAATTTTCATGCCATCATTGCACGATTTTTTAAAAGGTATTTTCCAAAAAATTAAAAATATGACAAAATTAACTACATTAAAAATTCTAAGCATCCAATATTATCATGCAAATTCAAAAGAAAATTCTCCTTAAAACATTACTAAAATGGAATATTATCTTTGCCTGGATAACATGGAATAATTAGCTGCTGACAAGAGAATTATGACAATTACAATTGCATTATAAAACATGTCATTCAAATCATTTGTAAATACATATTTTTGTCAATTTCAAAAGCATCATTATTTCCAAAAAAAACCATTAAAGATAAGAAAAATATCTTCAAAGTACAAATCATTGCAATAATAACAAGTTGCATATGCAATTTAACAAAAGTGCTTCCTAAAAGAGGTGACTCTCTGGGAAAATAAATATTTTACTGGAATCAGACAATAAAAATGTTCAATTATATCAATAGGAGAGTCTATTTACTTAAAAACAAATTAATATATTGGAATAATTTTCAATGTCATAATGCGAGAAGCTCCAATCTTATAATAGTTCTTTTAGGTTGAATTGTTGAATGTTTGAGTCCTCTATGCCTATTATATTTGACCACCTTGAATTCCAATGTATGTGTCGATCCAAGATCTTTGCCTCTCGATATTTATGTCTGACTATTATGGCCATAACCCTAAGTATCACATCCCTTCCCCTATTCAACAGTCTTAAAAGCTTAAGATCGCATCGTGTAGAAGTTATTTATCATTTAGTTCTTAAACGGGAAGAACAACTTTATGAAATGTAACCAAGGGCTCATATAAGAAATGTTCGCTTGCTTGTACAAATTGCTCCATTTGCTTTTGAACAACTTCTTTTTAGAAAGAAGCCACTCTTGATACCTCCTTTCCAACTCATAAAGTAGCCGTGGAAATGAATCTTCTTCCTTATTTTGAGTAATATCATGATCAAGAAAGGACTTTACATCAAGCCTTTATCGCGGATTAATTATATCTAGAGGCAAACTATCGAAATACCTAAATCTCATCTCATGCGCACATGGATGGCCTCATGAATTGCATGAAATGCCTAGTACAAATAGGTCGCTTAACCCTACTTTTAGCAATCTCGTATTACTTAAAGAGCTTGTTTAAAGCAAATACTGACACGCGAGTAATCAAGTTCCTAAAGAGAGGAATACAAAGATGATGAGGACCTCTTACTTTTCACTTGACAATTTGGTTTTGATTTCCTGAAACTGATTCTCAACTTGAGATATATTTTCTTTTTCACCTCGACTAAATCCTCCGTTGACAATTGTAGATATGCTTTCAAAGTTGCATCGCCCCTTCAGCTCTTGAAGTAACATGATTCCCAAAATGCATGTGCAAGTCTGTCCAAGTAGGCACAACTAGCTTTTTGAAAGGAAGCCATTCTTTTTAACGTAATTAAGAACCGACGGCTTTTCCTTATAACGATCTTCAAATTGCTAAATATTTTTATCAAATTTCACTTCGCCCTTGGAGTTCATAACCTCAGACCAACCAAACATAAAAGAATCCGAATCATTTCCTTCTTCAAACTGAGGTTTACATTTTACCACAATATTCTTCATAATGTGCCGAAAGCACAACAAGTTCGCACTTTTAGGGAAAATGAATCGAACGGCATTCAAAAATCCAATGAATCAATACCAACTCTCTATCCATGACAATAGTTTAAGGTTGACAATCGACACTCAATGTGTTGCTAAACATCGTCAAAACCAAAGCATAATCTTCGTCTTTTCACTTTCTCAAAAATGCAAAGCATGAGAATAACGAAGTATTAAAGCTGGAAGCTCCAACAATATCCAATAAAGGCATTTACTATCTATTAGTCTTATAAGTATAATGGTTAATACCACTAAAAACCCTAAATTGGTATATATGTGATAAATTTACTTCAAACTAATTTTTTTATCATAAAAAACCTCAAATTAGTACACGTGTGGTAAATTTACCCAAATTAATTTTTTGAACACCAAAAATCTCAAACTGGTAATCCTGAGACAAATTTACCCTCCGTTAGTTGATCAATTTGGGTTTTCCGTGGTATTTACTTTATGGATTTTCACGTGGACTTGCCACGTCACCATGTGTCATCCACGTCAGCAAATATAACGGTAAACTTTGACGGAAGTTAATGGAGGATAAATTTGTCACATGTGTACCAGTTTGAGGTTTTTCGTGATTAAAAAATTAGTTTGGAGTAAATTTATTACAAGTGTACCAATTTGGGGTTATTTGTGATCAAAAAATTTGTTCAGGGTAAATTTATCATAGGTGTATCAGTTTAGGATTTTTCGCGATCAAAAAATTAGTTTGAAGTAAATTTGTCATACATATACCAGTTTGGGTTTTTCGTAGTATTAACCCTAATTATAATCCATTACAAAGACACTTCAGGTTAGTGCCATGGAGATAGGATGAGAGAAAAAACGTGTTAAGTGACCATTGGCATCATGTTTAAAATGGTAGATGAATCCACCTACACTAAGCTTACCCATAAAGTTTGGACCATAGTGCGACCATTCAAATATTCACGATCACTTTCATGTAGTAAACAGTTTTAGCAATACCTTGGACAATGGGATTTCTTTGTCTCAAGAAAGAAAGAATTTGGTGAGGAGGTATACTAGCTTTAGATATCTCTTTCATACATGACTTCAACTTCATAAAAGCGACGACAAGTAAGATGTCTGGACAAAATACTCAAAGGATCGTGATAATGTGAAGCATTCAATATTTTGAGTAAAAATGATCCGTTCTTTTAATGAGAACGAACTTCAAAAGGACAACTAATCAAATGTGATACGGTTTTTCTTCTCTGACATGCAATAGAAAATATTATGTCAATCAATATTATTTTCTCCTCTATCGCTACCAAGAAGAACTTATATGTCTCTCTTTTTCCTTTTCATAGAGACAACATATTCTTGAGCAAGAATATGGCTCCGCATACTACTCAAAGGATCCTTTCGAGTTAGAAAATTACTGAGTAAAGTTTCAAATGAACTTGTTGACAAGACTAATTGCTCTTCTCCATTCATATTTCATCATTAATAGATATATTTAAGCAATTTGGATGCTCTAGAATATTGCATTTTATAGTGACTGCACTATAAAAAAAATATAATGAAAGATGAGTAACTTATATGTAACACATACATTAACCACAATTTTCAATTTTTGAGTAATTTATTGTATATTTGTAATGGAAATCAAAGTAAAAAAATTCACGATTTCGAGGAGAATCTAAAAGAAATAAAGTAAAGAACGTGCATATATAACTAACATCTCTTTACTCCATTGATTGGTGCTTGATCAAATTATAACAAATGGTTAAACTCTTATACAAGTGAACAATGGAGAGTAAGTTAAGAAGAAGACGAGCATGAAGGAAACATTGAAATATAATGAGTGTGGAAGATGCGGCTAGGATAAAAAAAGTTGTTTGAGAGAAGTATGGATAGTTTTGTATTTTAGTCAAAAGGAAATCTAAAAGAAGAAAAAAGGTGAGAAATAATCTTAAATCAAAAGTAGGACCTACAAGGGATATTATGGTTAGTTCGAGATAATTGAGGGTGTCAGAAATTAAAAAAAATGTGGAAAAAGTGCGACTCTTTGATAAATCGGTATTGAGTTTATTGATCGGCATTAGACTGCATGAGGAAAGGAAATCAAAGTCATTGGTGAGGATCAAGCAAGATGCCTAAACTCACTTTTTCACTTAAGATCGATGGCCCGATGGTACCTCTATAGCATTGTATTGTAACATCGTAAGATCTTACAAATTTTGTAAAATTAAACAAAGAAAATTTCATGATACGTAGAACTAGATATGTACTAGTGTCTATTAAAAAAGTAGAGAAATAACAATCCAAATATTGATTAATGGGAGTGAACTAACAAGGTAAATTAGCACGGTATGCTAGCAATGATAGAAGTACACCTTACAACATAGCAGTCATTCGTTAGTCACAAACAACTTGAAAATTCAATCTGCTCCAGCTCTACAGACTATGATACATCACAAACTATTTTAACTAGAACTGTGCAATTGGACCTATTCTACCCGGGAATCGGATCAAACCCCCTTGAAAATCGATCTGATTTCAGGTTCCCGATTTCAATTTTTTGGAACTGGTGGGAACTGATCCAGTTCCTGGTTCCAAGTGAAGAACCATCCGGGAATCGGACCAAATTTGGAATCGATTTATAAAATCTAAAAATCTTAATTTTTCTCTGGACATTTTTTTTTCTATCTCTCTTTTTTTCTGTTCTCTCCAACTTTACTCGGACACTTCACAAATCTTTCTCCCTTGGTCGCAACTTATCCTCCTCCTCACTCGCTCATGACTTGCCCTCACTCATTTGAGCCTCACGATTGTCGTTCATTCACGACTTGCCCTCGCTCATTCATGACTTGCCTTTGCTTGCTCACCCGCCCTCACTCATCTCATACTTTGAATTCATATGATTTTGTTGTAAAATAAAACCAAAAAAACAACAAAAGAAAAAATAGGATCTTGGGTAGACCCTAGAAATGGATCGGAAAAATAGGGGTAAGTTCTAGGGTTAGTTTCGGAGCAAATAAGACAGATTTTAGGTTTCAAAAATGGGAATCGATTCTAACAGGTGATCACCCCTAATTCCGACAGAGAAGGCAACCGCTTTGGAAATTCTTGGCAAAAACCTAAGTTTAAGGGTCGAGTCTGCCTACTTCTTAAGCAAAAACGATTCTTAAAAGGGTCCAAGTGCAAATGAAAACCGTCATTGATTCGTGTGTTGCTTTTGAGTAAGATCACGATGGCCTAATAACAGATGCGTTTTTCCAAGCCCCTACGACCTTATGTTGAGGTCGCCAGTGACTACAGTAACATTTCGATGTCGATTAAGCACCGAGGAAAGGAGAAGGGGGGGAAGCGGTCGAGAGTAGTATTGGTACGTACGAAGGACATGGACGATGCTCGGGGACAAAGAGATTGGGATTTGTGCAGGATTAATGGCGAGGCTATGGAGAATTAAGGGTTTCTCGAGCGTAATTGAAGAAGTAGAATTTGGGCCTTTTCTCTTTAAGTTAATGAAATGAGTCGAGCCAATTGACGAGTACTATATGCGCATCGCATTCAATCCCACGTGATTAATTGGGCGCCCCCCCACCCACGTGTATCACGCGCTTCAAGAAAATCTCCGCCACCCCCGAATCGCCGCCCGCCACGTGGATCACGCGGCCCCCTCCCCCCCTAAGATGGCGCCGACAGTATATGAATAATAAAACCGTCTCCGAACGCCAACAGAACCCGCCCCCGTAAATCGGGCCCCGGTTATCGTCCGACCCGAACCCGATTGGCAAAAGTAAAATGCGTGCGATCTCGGCCAACCCTCCTCAGCCGTCCGATCTCCGCTGGGCCCCACCACTACCCACCCCCAAAGGTCAACGGCGAGCCCGCACGCAAGCGAAGCCTCCCCCTTTCCTCAGTGGGGGAATCAGGATCAAACGAGACGCGCGAGAGAGAGCATATCTCCACAGTGGGGGGAGGCGCGGATCCGCACCGCGCGGTGCACGGCGCCTCCGTGCTCCCCCTCCACTCGCCTCGCGCCACGTAGTCACCGCACCCCCCCACTCCCAGCCCCACCGAAACCACAAAAAACCAAAAAATGAAAAATTACCTAACATGGCGACTCGAGAATAAAAACCCGAAAAAATGAAAAAATGAAAATACAAAAAATACAAAGACCTTCCTTATCGCGTCTCTCTCTTCTCTCTCTCGGGAGAGAGATTTGATCTTCATCGTCTTCTTCTCCTTTCCAGTTTCGATCGTCGGGGACGGGGAGCGAGGAGCGCTCCGAAACCCTAGCGATTCCCCCCTCCCCCGCGCCCTGAATCGCTGCCATTTCTGCAAATCGTGGGCTTTCGAGCTTAGTAGCTTCCACCCCACCTCCTCTTAGGTTCTCCCATTTCCGCGTTCTCGGCGTAGCTGTTGTCATGCTCGATACGGCCCCGGCTCTGTCGGTGCCGCTCCTCCTCCTACCCTAGAGCTCCGTGGTCCCTCTGGGGTTCTAGGGTTACGGAGCTTCGGCCGTTTCGCCCCCCCCGCAACGCTCATGGAGAGATCCGACTCCAAGGATTCCAAGGAATTCCGTGACGGCTCCTCAGGTTCGTTACCCTGAGATTTGGTCTCGTTTGAGCTTTGAAATTGTTGGGTTCCGTTTTTCGGTGTGTGGGGAAGATGGTGCCTTGGGGGATGGGGGGGGGGGGGGGGGGGGTTGTTCGCTGGGGAGGGGCGCGGTGAGGAGTGAGATTTTTTTTCGTCGGGCCGTTGTTTTCGGTTCTCGTCGGTTTCGGCGAGCTTCCTGTGTGATTCGCGGAACGAAGCCGTGAAATTTTTTTTGTTCTGGCGAAGTGGGAAGAGGGTTGGATTTGTGCGGAGCTGGGGTTTTAGGGTTTGGTGCTCTTGAATCTCGTGGCGGCTGCCGGGGAACGAGATTTCCGGTTTTGATGTGGCGAGGACATGTTAGAGCGGTTTCGATAAGATTGTTGTGAATGATTTATGTATGTTTTCAGTTATGCTTGGGCCTTGTAAGAATTAAGAATTGTATCTCTGATGTTTGTTAACCCATCGTAGCGATCTTTTGAGTGGGCGTAATGGTTAGCAATTTGTTGCTTCTTGGCTGACATTAAGTGATTGGTTTCTGATAAAAGATATCTCGATCTCTAATACTTAGATGGAGACTCCTACTCCCGTTTAGTGAAGGTTGAGTCATGCTTACTCCGTTTGCTTATCAAAGTATCATTTTGGTGACCGTAGCAGCTAACTTTGAGCTTCTGAGGCCGAATCACAATGGGCCGCAAAGGGTTTTTTTTTTGGGGGTCCGGAATGGTTTGTCCAGAGGATATCTGAGCTAACTTTTCTGTCTGGTTGCTGCTATCGCTCTTCAATGTTATTTTCTGTGCTTGCAAATAGGTCTGCTGTTCCTCTGTAAATTTGAATTGCCTTAGTACTACTCACGAATGGTATTCCTGCCCAATGCTCTCAAACTGTTTAGATGTTACTTTTATTTACAAGCTCTAATTTGTGTGTTCACTGTAATTCAGATGCGCTCTTCGATGCATCCCAATATGCATTTTTTGGTCAAAATCTTGTGGAAGAAATGGAATTAGGGGAGCTAGAAGATGGCGAAGGAGACTTCCCCTTTTTTGGACCTGCAGATGATGAGTATCATTTATTTGATAGAGAAGAGGTTTGTGAACAGCTTCTCCACTTTCTATTTTCCCTTACCGGAGGACAAACTTAAGTCCTGTCTTATAATATTCACTTTTTCTTGATTGTAGCAGATTTTTCCCTCTTAAACTTTTGCCTCAATTTTCGTTTTCAGGGTAGCGGTCTGGGATCTCTATCTGAAGTGGATGATCTGGCCACTACTTTTGCTAAGGTCATACCCTTTCTATGGCTTTTTTAAGTTGTTATTTGGGTTCCTAGAGTTCTTCTATTTTTCACTTGTGTCTGTCTGAGTCAATAATTTAAGCTCTATGGAGCCAATTAAAACACCAAAGCTTAGTCAAAACACCAAAGACTTGTACCTTTTTGATAAATGCTGTTCACCCAATGCAGTCATAATTGAAAAGTAAATGGTGCTATTAAGTCTCTCTCTCTCTCTCTCTCTCTCTCTCTCTCTCTCTCTCTCTCTCTCTCATTTTGTGATGATATTTCCCACCATTACCTTTGATGCTGATTCACTAGTCTGAACAATTGGGTAGGCAGTTTTTATAGTCTCTCTTTTCTTTTTTTGGATGGAGTAGAATTAAAAAGTGATTTTGCGAGTTAGATGTAGTTGTGAAGAGAGAGGAGGAGAGAGCAACCTTGTATTAGATCTCAAACTGAGCACATTCCCAATGTTTAGGCCCAAATAAAAATTCCCCAGTGCTACATAATGTTTTACCCATTTTACTCTCATCCTTCTCTGGGCTTCATTAATAACAGTTTCCTTGGTTGGGCTTGCTCTAGATTAACATTTAATTCTTACATGCTGTAAGTACAATAAAATGTATCTCAAGCTAATTATTGCGACAACCTGTTTTTGCTTCCGGTCAACTTTAAGCCTGCCTTTAGTGCCTCAGTTACCACTCTTGGAAGTCCTGATCCACAAATTTAAGTACTTTTGGCATAGGACCATCATTGCTCCCCTTTGAAGTCTTGCCTCCATAGAACTGAGCAAAGATAAAAATAACAGTGATGTGGTCTTTAAAGATTGCTTCATGACTTGATCTAATCTTTTTACCATTCACCTCATCATACATCTGATGGGTTGGTCTTGCTGATATATTTTAAGAGGATCTTGCCTTATATGTCTTAAAAATTTCTCCTGGTACTTCAAATTCCTCTTTCTTGATTTCTCAATTATTTGTTGTTCCATTGGCAGTTGAACCGAGTAGTCACAGGACCAAGGAACCCAGGTGTCATCGGGGACAGAGGATCAGGATCCTTCTCCAGGGAAAGTGAGTAAGCTACTTGTTTTTTTGGTTGTTTTCGAAGGGTCCTTCTACAATCGTATTGAAAGTCTAGAAACTTTTCCTGTGATTTTATTGATCCTTGTTTGTCTATGGTGGATGGATGTTTTATTATGGTTTCATTCGCTTCTGATACTGCTAGTCTGAAAATGTTCTCCGTTGCAAAGTTTTAAAAGCCCAACCCTTCAAAATTGCTGAAGATTGTGTTGGCTTTTTTATAATTTTTCTCCAAATAATTGTGTCTATTACTCCATGGAAAGGAGAAGCCACGGCACTGCTTTGGCTACATCCTTTTAAGAAGTTAGTTTGCATATCGTAAAAATATATCCATTAAGTTTGTGAAAATGTGAAAATGTGAAGAGCAAAGTTCCTTATGAAAGAAATTTCTGTAAAAACAAAAAGGGTAATGCTAAATTAGGATGAAATGCACCCTAATTTGATGATTCTTATCATACCATTGGTCATATTGAAGCTAGATCATGTATCTCTCAGCAAAAAATTGGGGTGGGTTAGCAGTTGTGAGTGCAATACATGAAGAAGATGCATGATGCTAAGAAGATTCAAATGTTTTTTGCTTCTCCTTTGCACCCTGCTGCATCCTTGCTTCCGATTGTGTTCCTTGAATGTTGCTATAGATCGCTGCGGTACAGAGGAGGATGACTGCTTATAGATTGTAATCCTCTTGGGTTCTGTCCTAGGTCTCTTATTCTTAATTTGTTTCATGGATTCTGTGTAGTTTAGTTATTGTGTTCAGGCCCAGTGGAGTATGGGTATTGAAATTCCAGATAGAAAAGTAGTAGGGGAAAGTTCCTGGAAAATTTCTCTTCTTGAATAACATTAGCCACTTTCAAATTTACATCTTGTTTCTTTTTTACAACAGCTTAGATGACTCATTTCAGATAAAAACCCAAGTAGGATAATCCATCAGGTTTGCTTTACGCTTAAAAATTTATGAAGGATGGGCATTGCGATAACCATAGATGGTATGTGAGCTTGGCAGGGAGGGAAAGCAGTAAAACATTTGTTGCCAATGGAATGAGCCAGGATATTTTTTTTCCTTCTGAAACTTCATCATAGAATCCAGATGCCATGTTAAAATGTTACTGCGACTTTGAACCATGAAGTGTAGCTAGATCTCATCACTTTTTGTCAAAGTCCGCATGTCCTGAATCATAAGATAATTTAAGTTGGAGTGAGGAGTATATTCTAGGATCAAGTACCTGTATCCCAGTTCAAGCATAGGTTCAATCAAATGATACTTTGACAAGTCTTTTCAGTTTAATAAAGGCGAACCAGTCCTCCAACTCTTGTTGTTAAATTCGCGATCTAACACGTAAATTCGTACATTTTTACGAGACAAATAATACGAAGTCTGTGAACTCGGCTGAAAATCATTTGTAGGGGTAAAATCGGCGAAGTTGTGATTTTAAATCCCAAAAAATGTCAAGATCATGAGTTGCCTTGCATTTAATTGGTGGTGGCTGTTTCTGCTCTCCCGGTGCACTTTATTTGGGGTGTTGGGCTAGCCCAAAACCAACTAAACAGGCCCATGCGGCATTAGTGAAATGGTGTATTTGACGGATGCCTAATTGAATAAAATTTAAATGAAAATGAGGAATAAAAAAAGAGAAGAGAATATGAATAAACAAGGTTGTCGCTTCCTGTTCATAGTACGAAGGCAAAGCTAGAGTTCTTGTTTTCTTCTTTTGGAATTGGTAGAGGTTGCACTAATATCAACCACCAACAACTGCACCAGAAAGTGAATGCAAACTCCGACTATTTAGGGACTGGATGAAGAAATTTTTTTGATTTAGTTGTGTGAGCTAAAACTATTTTCACGTCAGATAAACTATATTAGAAAAGCTAGACATTTTTTTTTTCTTGAGCGAATTTGTATTCTTTTGGGTAGAGTGTTTGTATTAGTATATTAGTTTTTCTAAGTTTTATTAGTGTAATATTCAGTTATTATTAATGGTACTGATGATTTGTTTATTTGAGACTACGATTTATTTGTGAATACAGTTAAGTTATGATGTCAAGTGTGCCGTCGATGTTTAGTTTAAGCACGGACTATTTACTTGGTTCTTGTGTAGTTTTTAACTATGCGGCTGTTGATGATCATTACGACCGAGACTCGCCAGTTTTTTAAAAGTTACTTTACAAAGTTTGTAAATTACGATTTTAGAATCTGATTCTGTGGGGACCTCATCGATCGTAGGTGAAAAAGTGAGTTTAACTACCTTGCTTCAACTGATATTCTTGGCTTTGAAGTGATGAGTACAGATAGACTTGTGTCTATAGCTGAGCACGGGAGAAAACATCCACTCCTGTTTGACTTTCATGCGTAAATGCCAAGTCCTCTGTGGAAGTTTGCTCGTCTTTTTTTATATATTGTCATTGTAAAGGAAATTACATGGTGTGTTTTGGTTATAAAACTACAGATCACAACTCCTTTGGAATAATTTGTCGAAAAATAATAATAAACAAAAAGAACCCCTTGGTCAACTGCATCCCTGGAAATTTCTATGCCATTTTGAGAGGTGTCTTTTGTTCTTATTGGGGGAGCAACAGATTCTGTGGCGTACGAGCTTGCTGCGCAAACTTTTGTAGAAAATTTGGAGGGATCACATTATGTCACTAGACATAATTATTTTCAAGTTTGTTGTATTATTGGTTGTAATTTTCTAGCTTCCAAATGCACTAGAAAGATGCATTGGGTCCTGCTAGTTTGCGTATGTTCCCATATTGAACATTTCCTGATTTGCTATGCATGTTCATGTTGATTCTGTGTGCATGCACATCTGTCACGTGCTGGAGTTAGTTCCTAGTTTGCCTGTCCATCAGATTCTTTGCTTGCGTTTTTTTGCCTTTTTTTTCTGAAGAAGCATCATGCATTTCTGTAGGTTTGGAGATATAGGATAAGGGCCATACCTAGTACCTTCAACTGGATGTTATGAAATGACAGTGTTTCTAAGTTTCTCATGTTCCTGAAACTGAATCTGTCTATGTTTTGCGTTTGCAGGTTCATCAGCCACTGATTGGGCACAAGATGGAGACTTTTCCACCTGGTTGGATCCTTATTCGTTTGATGCAGAAAATGCTCAAGAAGGCAAGAGATGGTCATCTCAACCTTCTCCTCGTTATGCAGACTCAAAGCCTTTGTACAGAACGTCCTCCTATCCTCAGCAGCAACCCCATCTCCATCACTTCTCAAGTGAACCAATTCTGGTGCCTAAATCGGCATTCACATCATTCCCTCCTCCCGGGAGTAGATCTCAGCAGGCTTCACCTCGAAACCCAAACATGCCCTCTTTAACTGGTGGATCGCAGTTGCCTTTCTCTGCACCAATCTTCTCTCCTTTATCTAACAACAATCTTCAGGTTGCTGGTTTATCCCATGGGCTTGAATATGGTAATAATGTGCCTCAATTCACCCCTTCTGGCCTTCCTTTTAGTAACAGGTCACAAAGCCACTGGGTCAACCAAGCTGGCGTACTTCATGGTAGTCAGTCTGGAATCTTGAAAAACATAATGCTACAACAACAATTATCTCATCAAAATGGGTTTATTTCCCCGCATCTGATGTCACCTCATCAGCAGCTCCAACACCAAAGGCTCCATTCCCTTCAGTCATCTTTGGCCCATTATGCTGCCCTGCATTCCCCACTCTACAGTACTCATCCTCCACCTTCGCATAAAATGATTCTAGGGTTGTCTGATGTTAGAGATCACAGACCCAAATCATCACAAAGAGGGAAACAGAGTGTACGCTTTTCTCAACAAGGATCCGATCTCAGTAGCCAGAAAAGTGATACCATTTCTATACAGTTCAGATCCAAGTATATGACTTCTGAGGAGATTGAAAGTATTCTTAAAATGCAGCATGCTGCAACCCACAGCAATGATCCTTACATAGATGATTATTACCACCAAGCACGTCTTGCCAGTAAATCTTCCGGGTCAAGATCGAAGCAGCGTTTTTGTCCTTCCCATCTTAGAGAGCTCCCTTCTCGATCTCGCAATAGTTCTTCGGAACAGCATTCTCATCTCACTGCTGATGCTGTTGGGAGGGTTCCATTATCTTCTGTTCGTAGGCCTCGCCCCCTCCTCGAGGTTGATTCCCCGCCTAATTCTGCTGATGGCAACTCTGAGCAGAAGGTTGTAGAGAAGCCTCTGGAACAGGAACCGATGCTTGCCGCCAGAATTACCATCGAGGACAGCCTCTGTGTCCTCCTTGATGTGGATGACATTGATCGCCTCTTGCAGTTTACTCAGCCCCAAGATGGTGGAACCCAGTTGAGGCGGAAGCGGCAGATTCTTCTGGAAGGTCTAGCTGCATCACTCCAGCTTGTGGACCCACTGGGCAAAAGTGGACACACAGTTGGGCTGGGCCCGAAGGATGACATTGTCTTTCTTCGGTTGGTTTCCATCCCTAAGGGCAGGAAGCTCCTATCCAGGTACCTCCAGCTTCTCTTCCCAGGTAGTGAGCTCGCTAGGATTGTATGCATGACCATTTTCCGCCACTTGAGGTTTCTTTATGGTGGCCTTCCTTCTGATCCTGGAGCAGCTGAGACAACCATGAATTTAGCCAATACTGTTTCAAGGTGTGTCAGTGGAATGGACCTTCGTGCGCTGAGCGCATGTCTCGTTGCTGTTGTTTGTTCATCTGAGCAGCCGCCACTTCGGCCCCTTGGAAGCGCAGCTGGAGATGGGGCATCTGTGATTCTGAAATCCGTTCTTGAAAGGGCGACCGACCTTTTGACCGGTCCCCATGCCCCAAACAGCTGTAGCATGCCCAATCGTGCCCTCTGGCAAGCTTCCTTCAATGAGTTCTTTGCTCTCCTTACAAAATACTGCCTCACAAAATATGAAACTATAGCTCAGTCAATCTTGACCCAGACCCAAGTTAGCTCGGAAATCATTGGTACAGAGGCAGCCAGAGCAATAAACCGGGAAATGCCTGTGGAGCTTTTGCGTGCTAGTCTCCCTCACACCGACGAGAACCAGCGTAAGCTCTTGTTGGACTTCGCTCAACGATCCATGCCCATAAATGCATTTAATGCACGCATGGGCGGTGGGAGCAGCCAAACAAACTCCGAGTCCGTGAGGGGGTAGTAAGACACGGTGTGGCGATTGCAGGCGTCATCAAGAAACTGTTGCAGAATCTAGCTGCTTTTGAGAAGCTCCCCTCGGTTACTCAGTCATGTGGATAAAGGGATGCTAGGGGGAAAAAAAGCATGCAGTCCTCGATTGTAGTAAATCCTAGGAAACAGCTCTATTCCCTTCTTCTTTCTTCTCTTCCCTTTTTATGATTTTTCGCCCTTTACTGTTCAATTAAAACAGGATTAGTGATGTCGTTTCCATGATCGTATGGATGAATGTGCATTAAGAAGGAAGGTTCTTGATGGGGGTTAAGTGGCGTCCTGGTTTCCTCTTGAGGAGCTATATTTTGCTGCTCCATGTTGAAAAAGTCCGGGAGGAAAGTTGAATTGTAGTGGATACTGAATGTTTAACATGTACATGGTAGTCTTGGGCAACAGCTCACCACTCTCCTATTAATGTGCTATGTCGGCTGCTTTATTTTTTAGCTCTGTAATGTTCCCAACTGATGAGCATCCCAGTAGTCGCACAAATCTGTCCTTTAGTTCAGTGTCTGGCTTTGCATTCAGCTTATCTTGTTCCTTCCCAGCAATAGTTGACTATGGTTTAGAGCGGAGTAAACTCTCAGTGTGTGACCAAGGTCTGAGTTTTACCTCCGGCGAGCGTGGCCCTCACCTCAGCACGAGACTGCTACATGTATCATATTCATGATTTGCTTTCATTTGATTCATATCAACGATTCTGTATATGGATCTTTCCCCATCCTCTTATCTGGTTTGTATTCACTTGCCCGAAGCTTTATTTTTGTCAAACTTAAGTTTGGCTCTAAATAGCAGAAACTAGGAAGAAGCTGCCAATCGGCACAGCCAGCATTATATCTTTCACGGTACAGACCGTTCTCGAAGAGTAGTTCGCATTTTAAATTGATTCTCTATGTTACCAGGAACCCTACAACAATGCGAAACAGCCATCTTCAGCTTTGGTGCCGAAATCACCCTTTTGTATACGCATGCCAAAATCCAAAAACACAAGGATCTATAGAGCAAAGCGGATTTTAATACAGATTAATAAAATCTGTTGTCACAGGTCCATTAAAGTAAGAACGAACAGAAATATGAAAAGCATTCAAGTCAGATGGCGACGCCATGTCTTTATAGAGATGCTATAGCATAAATTGAAAGACAGTAGCACGGCTTATGTCAAATGGAGGTAACACTGATAGTAAAACTGGAAAAGTTTATTTTTGCAATCACATAAACGATTATGATGATACAACATCAGCAGCGGTTGATTTCTTTCTCATCGTCCAAAAAGCTGCGTAATACCAATTCTGCAATAGACAAAAGAACCATCAGCATGAAACATGTCTTGAGGAAAAGGCTTGCAAGCTACCCAACTCAAAGATGTCAGTTAGACTATATGCAAAGCTTAGCATTTAATAATTCCATTGTAATTGCTAATTCATTTAGGTTCGTTTGGCAACCATTCTGTTCCCGAAAATAATTTCTGTTCAGAAATGATTCTTTTTTATTCCGTGCCGGGGAACAATTTCTAAGCATTTGAAGGTGTTTTATAACTACCCAAATTTCTATTCTTGCAATAGAAAAAGAACATAAGTATGTTTGGTAACGATACAAAATTTCTTTTTATTAATAATATTTTGAATTTTTTAATATTTCTTTCTTTTTTCTTTCTTTTTTCTTCCCCTTCCTTGGCCATGGCCAGGTCGCCGGCGTTGGCGACCAGCCCGGCCACAGGCCAAGGCCGGCGAGGGCGCCGTGGCCCTCGCTGGCTTTGGCGAGGGCGGCTCGCGACTTGGGCGAGTGCCGCCCTCACAGGGATGGACCCTCGCCGCCGCCCTCGCCGAATCTGAAGAGGGTTGGACCCTCGCCACCGCTCTCATCAGATCCGGCGAGGGTCGCCCTCGCCTTCACCGGCGAGGGTCGTGACGCCGTTGCCGGCCACAGGCTAGGAAGAAGAAGAAGAAGAAATTTTTTATTTCCATTTCTGATTCTTGTTCCCAGAATCAAGAAGCAACTTTTTGTTTGCTTCTTGATTCTGTTCCAAAACTGATTCTGGGAACAAATTTTTGCAAATTTGTGCCCGGGAACAAAAAATTTACCAAACGGATTTCTGTTCTAAAACTGATTTTGGGAACAAAAAAATAGAAATAGTTACTGTTTGGCTGGTTGCCAAACGCGCCCTTAGCGTTCCAAATCACCATCTCGAACTGCTAAAAGCAACCTTGCCCATTTATAACTATGAATGGCACTCTTACATAAAGAGTGTTCAAAGATACTTTCCAAAGAAAAATATCAAGGTTATAACTAAACCGATAAAAAGATAGCCAAACATATTAACAGAAGACGAGATTTAAGCAAGGGTTAAGAAGCTCACCTGCATCATTGCCCTAGGATTTGTGGTGTAGGTTGTCTCTATGGTTTTCTCATTCTGCGTTCAAGAAACATGAGAGATGACTTTATACGCAACCAATAAATAGAATAGATGTTAGATGGTTGCAAGTGAAATGTCAGCCTGAATTACCTCAAATACGAAACCGTAGTGCAAAGCAACCCTTTTTACATCCTCCAAGCTCAACTCAATGGACATCTCCTGCGGTTGCATTACGTAGATGCGAGAAGTTCAAAAGTATAAGAAAGGGAAGGGAAAAATGAAACCGACATTTTGAGCCATCCTTACTTAAACCATGTGATAAATCACTAAAACTCGCGTAACAAATGAGAACTTACGTCTTCTCCACACATGTCAGCAAAGTGATATAGAAGAGGTCCCAAATTAATCCACACCTGGAAGTCATGTATTTTGAAATTCCATTAGAAATCCAATAGGAAGATCCAAGGAAATGATCAAAGGGAAAAAAAGAAAGTCATTATCCTAAGTATTTGAGAGCTTACTCCCCCTTCTTTGAGAATTTTTGATATGATTTCAATGTATTCGACAATGTTATGCGCCGTATCAATAAAAAAGCATGTTACAACTGAATCCCAAATTCCTGCATGTTCCATAAAGGTTTTCAGAGTGAAGTTAATAGGAAGATCAACATGCTTCAAATAAAATGGAAGAAGAGGATGCAACCATAGAGCAAGTTCATTTCCGATCTCATTATCATAGCACACAGAATAACAAATAGACAGGACCAAGTTCAATTCTGCTTCTCCTACCTACTTGGCAGGGGTCACTGTAAACCTCAACAAAATCACCACCGCACATGGAGAATCCTTCTGTTATCCCTGCACTGGTCCAAGGAAGTACTCCATGATAAGCATGAGACGAACCATGTCTTAGAACGCATATTAGATGGCCAAGGATTCAACACAACATTTTTCCATTTAAAAGCCAAATTAGGGGATAAATTGGGGGACAAAGCTATAAGATTAGCTCTGCTCTTTCAGAAACTTCTACCTACCAGAGAGCGCAATTAATCATGAATAGCTATACAAGGAGAATTAGGTAACAATAATGATATGTATTGGAATTTTCCTCATAGAACTAGAAGTGGAGCAAATCCACAAAGTTGTAACATATTACATTTCAGTGGATCAAGTTATCCTTGCCAGTGTGGATAATTTGATTCCAAACTGTTACATAAAAAACAAAACTCTAAGATAATGGCACATAAATATTATCGTTCGACATGCGCAAATTGACAAGCTGAGGACAGAATTCTCAGACAATGCATATTTGAAGTTCAGCCTTACCATTATCCCTCACTAATGTTTGTAGATAATGTCACGATGACGAACATCATATTTTAAACTCCCTGGGTGAAGTCATCACTTTTCACATGATCTGGCCTGCTCAAAGCAGTTATGGAAACGCTGATGATCCCAGTAATCACTCGGCCTAAATTAGCCTATAACCCCTTGTTCAACACGTACATCGAGGGGAAAGTCAGAAGCAGCCTTCGTGACTGCTCAGCCTAACCACAGATTACCTCTTATAACGTCAAATCAGACAGAACTCTCATTTTACCTAGAGATAAAAACTTTGAGAGAATGTTTCCATTGTCACCTAATTATTAAGCAGAGCCCTACTAATATTCTTTATGTTAATTGCTGTATAATATAATAGAGCCAATAGTTTCCAAGAACCTATAATAAGATAGGTTATCAAACACTCGACAACTTTATTGAAACACTTAAGATTTAACTAGATATAATCGTCGCGCAAGTTTGCAGCTAAGTATACACTCGGAAAGACCTCCAGAATGAAGAAGGATGACCTCTTGTACTTGATCACAGTGTCCTCTCAGTAAAGAAACAGCGCAAGCATTAGTTCTCACATCTACTGATTTGACATATGGAACAGCGAGTTTTTTGAAGTAGAGAAACAAAGACTAATGTCATAACATCATTTCAACATGAATATAACTAGGAAGAACCATGTGGAGAAGTAACATTTATGTTAATGGAGAGATGTCGATTAGAGGTACTTGAGAACTGAACATGGAAAAAGGGCCTCCAACGTAAAATTTTCAATGTAGATAAGCAGAACTGACGTCATATCTGGATAAACCTATAACCTACTAAACTATCACCATCACATGAAACCCAGGATGTAGATGGTGAAAAATGTTTATTTGGCAAACGACGGGCAATTTTCCCCGATATGCTTTGGGGTTCACAAGCTTTCAGATATTTACTCATGACAATGAAGCAAGCTCTTCTTTTTCACGTTATTAGAACTTACAAATTTTTCCTCTGACCCTAAACTCAAGTAGTTATTCTATCTAGTTCAAGCCACGCCACACCTGTTCATAGGAAATGAATCGATACCAGATGCATCTAATTCCTAAAAAAAACCGCATGACTGAACTTTCTCTAGCATCTAGAGCCAGTAGCCGACAGAAAAAAGCAAGTGCCCAGCAAAGTGATACCTCGCTGGATGAATATCTGGAATTGACACTGGCCGAAGTTGGTCACTGTCTGAAAGTGAATTGCAATTGCTATGGATCCAGGGATATATTGTCCACTCATCAGCAGCTTGAGTTCTAACAATTTCAGCAGAAAATTGGAGCAGTGAGGCCAACAAAACAGAAGATATCTTGTTAATCTTAACAATGCATGGAACTTTGGCACAAATTGCACAAAGACTCTTACTGATTTAGAATGAAACTCGAGCATATCATCATGTAGTACGAAAATTCATTTCCCTGACTTATGAAACCTGTCTCTCAGAAGAGAAATGATAAGGCAAAAAGGAAAAAGCAACCAAAAAAAAAACTATTGAAGGCTGACACCTTGACATACCTAGAGATGATATCTCCAAAGCCAACCGCCCAAGTCCAGCCCCAGGAACTAAACAAGAAGGAGGGCTGTATGAGGAAATTCTTCTCTTGTCAGCATTTTCTCATTACAGCATCTCTCCCAGAGAGTAATAAATCAACAACTTAACTATTATGTGGCCAAAGAGATTTAAAAGCCTTAGGAAAACTGATAAAACAAGAAAGAAACTAAATTCTGTATACCTTTCCCTGGAGCGATTGGGGAAAAGGGCATCAAGCTCTTCCAAAATAGGCTTGAAGCATTGATCACGTTCTTTCTGCCCCTATGTGAGAAAGAAATTACAGGAAAAATACTACAATTCAGTAACAGTTGGACTCGCAATATTTTAAATAAGAAGATCAAATTACAAGATACCTCTGCTGCCCAGTCTCTAACAATGTTCCTTATTATACAACGGACCTGTTAAAATTTTGAAAAGGATTATTTCAAAGGGGAAGGCAATACAGATATGCAGTAAATTCATCACTTGTTACGCACATCAAGTTGCGACTTCTAATTCCTTCACCCTCACCAACATCATCATGTTGATGCACAATGTGAGCCCCCTTAAATACGGTGCCGACCATAATTCATCCATTTGAAGAATTCGGCAATTAACTGAAAGAATATGCAATATAGAACACGGAACTAAACCACCCTCCAGTCCATTAAAAATAGCTAGAATTGACCTCAAGATCATATATAACAGCAAGAAGTACAGCAAATCCAAGATGTCATTTTGAAGAAGCAATACATACATACACCAAGATACCTCACAAAGGTACTAGATTACCGAGTCACCAGCATTTAAATTACTTAAAGCTGCCAAAAATCTGGGCACTGACCAAGAGTAAAGATGACCTATTAACCTTCACTGTGTTATGAGCAGAAGCATTAGTACAAGGTTGGGCTGCTGCTAAGCTTTCAGCAACTCTAAGATCTCTGATTGACATGGCTAATTAGACATGATTGGCCGTTGGCTAAGCCAGATCCATCCACTAATTGATGCCCGTTGTGGCTATCGAGACCAGTAGTAGCTGTAATGAAGCATTAATAGCAGCATTCTAACACACAGTCTTCTCATGGCAAGTGGACTTTTACGCTTCTCGAATCCCAATTCACGCTACCCTCAAGGAATAGGACATTATCGATCATTAACTGAAATCCTCAATCCACTTTGCATGCCACAAGTTTTGCATGTAAGGCTCTTGAGCTTGAAGAAGTTATGACAATGACAATAACAATGTAACAACTAAATAAAATCTCCTGATGCTATATCAGGGAACCTCCTCTCCACATGAATTTCCCACAAATCCAATTTACCGTAGCCATTGGTCAATTAAGGACCAACCACTGATCCAAAACTCATAATCTACACATGGGACATGTCACCCATGGCTTCCTTGCCTCTTGTGCATGTCTTCCATGGCATTAAAGAACCACGATTTAAAGACACTGAGAGTATGATCAAGCCAACCCTTTTAACATTCTAATTCTAAGCTCCTGCAGCAACCCAAGCATTTGCATGTTTCCAATTATACATGTACAATAGAAAGCAATGCGACCCAAGGGGAAAAACCACCATTCTTAAAGAGATGACAAACCAATGTAAAAGTAAAATCAGAATGATACATACCTTATCAACGTCAACCAAAGGGACATGCAACTGCAATGAAGGATCTAACCAGTCGCAAGAAGAGGAAGAAACCTGAAATTGTGAGCAACAAAGAAGTAACCATCTTGCATAAAATGCATTTTAGTTTTGGACAACTCTACACAGGCTTTGAAAATTCTTATGGAAACACAAGTGCCAGAATGCACTATCATTCAACGAGCAGAGATCCAGCCGCATGAGGCCTGATAGCTTTTCTCTTCTTTCTTACTCCCCATCTCTGTGGGGCACTTGCATTTGCCCCATTGGAGGTGATTAGTGAGCTTACATCTTTATTGGAGTCGGCAAGACTATTCCCATCACTTTCTCTTCTCTGTTCGTGGAACTCTGAGCAACCACAAGAATTCCTCGCAGTGGAGTCATGGTGTCCTCTGCTTGCAAGCTCCTGCAATGCATCTAGAGAAGTCAGGTTAGTTTGTAATGAAAAAGCACAATTGAAGTCGGCACACAACAGCTACAGAACAATTACTGTTACTCATGAAAGTTGATGGACCTTATTGTTAGTCTTTTCTTCTGCTTTGTATTTTGCATTGTCACAATCTTCAGAAGCAGCTTCGCATCCAGATGACAACAAACTTCCACTACTGAAAGCAGTCTGACTTGAGCAAATGTTCCTCTCTGATGAGAAGAGGTCACCATTTTGCATGTTTTCATGATCTGAGTGTTCACAAATATCAATCTCTTGGCTCAAATCAATTGGGGGTTCAAATGCCTGCAAAGAAAGCAAGCGTTAAACTTTAAATTGCACAACATGATGCCAAATATTGATATGTAGCCAATGGTGCCGAGTAGATGATCAATGTCTCAAAAAGAGACTCAAATTCAGTTGAGTTTAACAACTCAAGAATCATAGCACTTGCCCTGGAGCTCATTTCCAGTACTTCTTTTGCATAATTCATTAGAAACAGTTCTGATGATAATGAATGATTGTATAAAAGAGGAATGCAGTTGACTGATTTCAAGCACTTCAAATCCTTTTTTTAACCAATTTCATAATTCTAGAATTGAGGTAAAGTCGAGATTTGAAGAGCTTAAATTGGAAATCAATTTGATGAATGTGTCCTTAAAAAACCAGAGAACTACATAAGAACCTCAGAACCATAGACCCATACTTCGAATGTTGCTTTAGATGTCTTATGGTCCTGCTGGTTAAGGGTGTCATCAGTCCAGTTGTCAAATATCAACAGCAGAACCAATCTGGCTGAGGGATCATAAATTCAAAGAAACTTGAAAGATACAGATAAGCTGGAGTAGCTCGAATTTCCTAGGTGCCTGGTCCCTGTGAGGTCACCATGGCTCTAGATTTGTAGATTACCTGGAGCAATTGAAAGCCCTTGAGGAAGGCGAAGTGGCCAGTGAGTTTGAAAAAAGTGATAAAATAGGCCCTATATTACAATCAATACGCGTGTTGTTGCTTGCAGATTTTCTTTTCCTTCTTTTTTTTTTCTTCTGGGGGGGGGGGGGGGCGGGGAGGGGGCGAGCATAGTCGATTTTAGTTAATAGAACATATCAAACTTGCATGGCATAGAAGTCATAAATAACTAGTTTGACCAACTAAAGATTAGACAATGGACCCTCACCCCACCCCCCTAACCCTTAAGGTCAGCGCAAGTCACCTCAATAACCTCACAAGGGCTCATCTTTGGCTGGGTCAGCAATAGCATAAAAGGATCCATTATCTTGATTGGAGAGAAAGAATCAAGAATGAACTTATGGAAAAATATTATGGCATGGATAAGCTGCAACATACCTGAAGCATGCTGAAAATGAAGTATGAATTTGCTGAGATGCACCTGTATCATTGAGAAACTCAATCAAATACTACCTTTAAATATGCCCATGATAATCTAACTAACTACCAATATTAATATCCAAATGCAGCTTATCCAAGATAGCACATCCCCAGGATCGTAAAAACCAACCAAAGAAACTGTCAAAACCTCTGGCATGCTTTAGCAGCAAGCAAGAGTCCAGATGGATATCTAACTTTATAACAGAGACATGTAGTGTGGAACCTAAGTTCAAATGCTATATGCACAGATTTCAAAGATAAATCAAAAAGGTAATTGGGCTCTTTTACATAATTGAAAAAAAAAATTCTACGTATATCTGGGTGAAAAGATTAATAGAAGCAAAGCACTTCTATCTAGGATGCCAATTTTGGACCAGCATATTACACAATATCAAGAAAGTTGTCTATCTGCATTTTCTCTAAATTTGTAAGTTAAATCACCCAAAAGAAACTATAAAACCCCTATGACAGCAGTCAGTTCCAAATTGCCAAGTGAAGATGCTTCTGATGTATGGAAATATACTGAATAGGTCACAGTAGCATAAAAGAAAAATCATCTACAATCAAGTGTGCTTAACCTATGTTTATTGAAGGGGAGGGGACCATATTTAGTCAAAAGGCTTAATCATTGTGGTTATAGTATAGTAAATCTGGCATTGTGTTGCCTAGGACATACTTGAAGGCTAGACTAGAGTACTAGTGGACAATAACATAGCACAAGGACAACGTCCAAAGGGCTAAATGATAAATATTGGCGACTCAACATGTTTGGCTGGAAAAATAAACAACTGGCATGTTTTGAAAGAACCAATTGACATGTTTTGAGAGAATCAATTTGACATGTTGAATAACATTTATACTGTTCCAACACTGAGATGAGTGAATTTGACTTAAGAATGACTAGCACATGCTAAAATGAATTTAGTATGAATTCCACGATCCCCATGTATAGTGTTCATCTTCCCTATTTCCTCTTACAACACTCATTTAGGTCAGATATCACTGACATACCTTCTCATTGACAACAAAGAAGAAATGCAGACCTCTGGAAAACATTGAAAAGAACTAGAACGACTAATTGGAGAAGCAGATCTCAGAGAGCTTGAAGAAGGATGACACTACTAAGGGGCAGCGTGTTTGAGCATTGAAACTACAAACTGAACATATTGAAATAAAACCCATAATAAGTCAACACAAGAAACAGGCCGAAGCAACGCACTGTCTCAATCTTCGAAACTTCTGAGGGTAGTGTGACAGCAATGCCTGCAAAAGCACATTAAAGTAGTGAAACAATTCTACAATTAAACTAGTCAAACAGAATATCAGTAAATTTGTAGAAATTTAACAAATTAAGGTTCGTGCATTTTATCGAGTCACTCAACAAAACTAAAATGGGCAAACAGTGTCTTGTTCAAAATACAGGCCAATCACTTTTTCTCCCACACAAATTAAGAAAGCACTTGTCGAGCTTAAACAATGGCAATTTTAGAAGACTGCAGAATACATTCTTAATGCATCACTATTAAGACAAAGAATCATCAGTACGATGAAAGTTAGACTAAGCGGGGAGAAAAACATCAAAGCAATTCACTTACCAATATCGTTTATGTCCATAACAAACCAAAAATTATAGTCTTTACCAATAGTCCATAGTCTTTACAAATCTATGCTTTCAGCACCATGAGCGACAGTCGACACGAGGACCAGAATAAAAACTACATCAATATGACTCTCTTCTGCTTCATGCATAAGCTAAATTCATGCCAGCTGACCAGCTTAAACAACTTCTTCATGAATGTATAATTCAAAATGAAACACTACTTCTTGCTTCATCAGCCAACTCTTTTCCCACTCTGATGGTAGTGCTTTTACAACTTTTTCCTCAGAGAATGTAAGTTGACTAAAGGCAATTGATGGTTCTTTGAATTGAAAAAAAGCAACTTCTAAATGTTAAAACTAAGAGGAGTATCATACACTAAATCTCTGTCACAATGACCGACACAAACATTTACACCGATAATAAGCAAACAGAGGATTGAGGATTCAATATTGTAATGTTAAGAGAGGTATTGTCAGCTTCACCGAACGGTTCCATAGCCTCAACTTCACATAATTGGTTCCCTAAAGTTTATGACCTGTCCTTTCAAGTTTTCATGTTCCTTGGTCATTATTCCAACCATTCTCCTGGTTTGTCCTAGTCATAGGATAGAAAGAAGATCAGTTAGGGGGCATTTGGCAAGTTGTCAAATAGTGAAAATTTCTGTTCTTTTATTTCCAGAATCAATTTGGGAACAGAAATCCGTTTGTTAAATTTTTTGTGCCCGGGCACAAATTTGCAAAAAATTGTTCCCAGAATCAGTTTTGGAACAGAATCAAAAAGCAAAAAAAAGTAACTTCTTGATTCTGGAACAATTTTTCCATTTCTGATTCTTCTTGGTTTTCTTCTTCCTTTTTGGTTTGTTGTTCTTTTTCTTCCCGGTCTGCCGCCGGCCACTAGCCAAGGCGTCGCGGCCCTCGCCGGTGGCCGGCGAGGGCGGCTCGCGGCTGCGACGACGAGGCCTCACCTAGCCATGGTGAGGCCAACCTCGCCGTCGTCGGGGTGGCAATGGCGAGGGCGGTGGCAAGGGCTGCAACGCCGTCGATGGCCCTGGCCTGTGGCCGGCGCCGGCAACCGGCCATGGCCAAGGAAGGAAAGGGAAAGAAAGAAAAAAAAAGAAAAAAAAGGAAAAAAAAAGAAATATTAAAAAATTCAAAATATTTTTAATAAAAAGAAATTTTGTGTAGTTACCATACGCATTTATATTCTTTTTCTATTCTAAGAATAGAAATTTTGGATAGTTACCAAACGCCTTTAAATGCTTAGAATTGTTCCCGAGCACGGAATCAAAAAGAATCATTTCTGAGTAGAATCAGTTTCCGGGCATAGAATCGTTGCCATGCGCACCCTTACAGTCCTGGGTTGACGAACCCCTGGTATGTCCTGGTTTTCTCCTGGGGTTGCCCGATAATATCCTTTGTCAAGAGCAAATTCAGGATGACCTTCTGCACCTCGCTTGCAGAGTCAAGACTGATGTCAGGTTTGCCCGACAAAGGACAACTTTTTGAGTCTGACCTGGTCTGCCTTGACAGATCTCCATACTGTGTCCCTGCATTCGTGTTAACTCTATATCATGCAGTTCCGGTGAGAGGAAACTATCACCGGGTGTACCTCATATTTAGTAGAACAATCAGTCCTAGGCCACATGATCTTACCCCACTTAATACCTGGCAGTGAAGGTCAGTAATCACATCTTCCTAGTCGAGGCACAATTTAGAAGAAAGTTACTTATAGACTCCATATGCATCTGTTCACAACCATCAGGATGCTGTAATTTCCATCTATTTGGTTACAAAAGGTGCGGAGGGGGATGAAGACTAGAAGCCAGGATTAAGCATCCCCATTTCAAAATAACTTCCGAGGGGAATTTGATACCCACCTCACTCAAAATGAAACAACCTCATCATGGCAAAACTTCAATGCCAATAAATAATCTTGTGCCAGGAATAATGCCAGTTTATTATTACCAGGGATATTAGCATTGGTATTTTCCTGGTAACAGAACATTCTAGACTCGCTTCCCTCTTCAACTTATATAGAAGACATACCAAGGCAATCGTCTTCCCCGCCAACAAAAAAAGGTTCTAGAGCTCAGTTCGGAGGTTTGTCGTTTGCATTATCATGGCATGCCTAAAAGTAACAGAAATTTATCTACAGATTCTTCATAAATCACGGTCCAGCTCCCAAAAGTTGACCACCACAGTCCATAGCAATGACTTCTTTGTAAAAACTTCATTTTGCTAGAATGTTCAATCCCTCACTTTGCTAAAAACAACTCCCCCCCCCCCCCCCCCCAATAGAAAAATATTACCATTAAACACCTTCATAACCACTTCACACACAGCTTTATCAACTTGGGCTGATGACATGATGCCAAGACCCGATTTGATATGGGACTGTCTGACCTGACAAAAGCGGTACTTGCTCAATCATGTTTATCCCAGTCACATGGCGTCTACATCTTTCTCTTCCAAATGCTCTCAATTTAACAGGAGGAAAATCTCAAGAGTGCTTAATGGATTAGTAGCTGGCGAGTACACCAAGGAAGTGACGAGCAAGAAGCACAAAGCCAAATAAAATCTTGATTTTTGTCAAAGTTTGGAAGACGAACCTCTCTCTATATCATACTGGAGAATCAACATTTATTAACTGGAGAATCAACAATAATTTAACAAAAGTTATTATGTACCTCATGAGCAGGAGGAAGCTTTCTGAAAGATCTTTCATATCGTTTTACATCTTCTTCTGCGGCTTCTGGATAACTGTACAAGAAGATAGTTCAGTGGTACATAAAGATAAAACCGAAAAATGGTTCGCATGATGCCAACAAAGAAATGTATCACCTAAAACAAAAGGCTTCAAAATTTGAATAATCAAGGCAACAAAACAAAATTGAAATAGAACTCGATGAAATATAACATCAATTTTCGAGAAGTGCCATGAATTAAAGCTCTGAAAGCAAGCTACAAGGGAATCTCCATAACCACCATAACATCAGTGAAGCTTCCTCATCACATGTTCGAAAAGCTGAAAAGAACTAATGCTTTGAATATTTTGCATGCCAACAGCCAGAAGAGCGCTCTGCCACCAGCTTTTTCGACGGTTTTGTGACTAATAACCATCCAAGAGCACTGGTTACCGATATAACCTATCATCTCCGGGTTCAACTAGAAACAAAAATTAATCATAACAGTAATGCCATTAGATAGCAGAACGTGGGAAAAAAGAAACTATAAACTCTTTCACCGAAAAAGCTAATCCAGAACTATCATCTTCACCACCCCGGTACTCCCACATGCTTTTTCGCCAAATCACTCCTGTGCCCGAGAAAACCCCCCCCCCCCCACGCACACTTTACTTTCAAAGGATTCATCAGTGAAGTTTTTCTTTTTTTTGCCCTCCTTTCATGCATCCTTCAGTCCAACAGACAAATCAATCAACCAGCTAATTCTTGCGGAAATCAGATACAAGACCTGCGCTTTCCCGCTAATCGACCAACTTCATTTACCTATGTGTAACTATCTCGGCACAGCTATTGCCGCTTGAGCAAATTAACTTCGAATCAACACGCACTCACAGTCACAGACATACAGATGTGCAAAATGAAAATTCAACTGCCCCTTCCTTACATGAACCCACAGAAGCTGAATCTCGCAATTCTGGAAAAATGGGTACTCAAAAGAAGCATAAAAGAACGAAAAAAATCGGGAAATTTAGCACGGAGAGATAGACACACCAAGAGAGAGAGTGTGTGTGCGTACTTGAGAAAGGCGCTGATGATGCGCCGGAGAGACTTGGCTTCGAGAGCTTCCTCGAGCTTACGCTGGCGAAGCCGCTCCGCCCCATCTTCTTCCTCCACGCCTCCGGACATTGCCCTGTAGAGCGCCGTCGTGCGCCGCGCCCGTGCGTGCTCTTGATCTTTCGCGGCTTCGACAGAGGAAGGAAGGGACGATCGCCGGTGGCTTTTCATCGTATACACCGAAGAAGGTCCGAATCCTGAAACGGGCTGTGGGCCCTGAGGAGGGCTGAGATCCGCAATTCATTTGGGCCGCCCCGAATCCGATGTTGGAAAACAAAACCCGCCCGCACTTTCGACATTATCACCATCATGCCACCAATCAACAACATCCTGTCTAATTTGATGGTTAGTAATTATGAGTGGGAAGAATAAGCCCATCAAAGGTATGGTCTGACTATCTTAAACGTAAGTAAGAAGTATATATTACCAATGCATTACGAATATAACTGCTCAAAATGGGCGGATTTGGATAGGGCCAAGTCTAGACCGAGGTTCGGCTTTTCGACCTTTTACCATTTCAACTTTGACTATTTGCCTTTCGGGTCTGAATCGCCTATCGGATTAGTCGTTGAGAATGCCCTAAAGCATTGAGTCCGTTGCTCGGCAACAATGACATAAACAGTTCTTGAATTTTGGTTCAATGTGTAATTTGATCCCTGAATTTTTAATTTGTTTAATGCAGTCCCTGAACTTTAGTCTAATGTTCAATGTGATCCCTGGACTTTTGGTACATGTTCAATTTAGTCTTTGAACTATATTAATATATTTAATGTAGTCCCTGAACTTGAATTAATGGAAGGATTACATTGAACATTTTCATATAATTCAGAGACTAAATTGAACATATTTCAAAGTCTAGAGACCATATTGAACAAATTAAAAGTTCATGGACAAAATTATACATTGAGCCAAAGTTCAAGGACTGTTTGTGTCATTTTCCCTAAACGTAAGTAATAAGTATATATTACTAGTGCATTATGAATATAACTGCTCAAAATGGGCAGATTCGGATAGAGCCGAGTCTAGACCGAGGTTCGGCTTTTCGACCTTTTACCATTTCAACTTTGACTATTTGCCTTTCGGCTCTAAATTGCCTGTCGGATTAGTGGTTGAGAATGCCCTAAAGCGTTGAGTCTGTTGCTCGGCGATCTAAACTCAATCAGACTATGTATTCGTACATAAAGGCATAGGGGTGCTTGTCTCATAACTTCATGAGACTATTTCCAATGTCATCAATAGAAAGCACACGATTAGGTATCGGGTACTGCAAACTATTGATGCGTGTGACATCTTATGTCGTCTTGGTAAATTGAGATGAATCAAGCATAAGTTAGAGAACCATGTCTAAATAGCAGCCAACTTGATCTAAACTAGAATTGGGTGCTGACATATTAAACTATCAAATGTGTATCTACAATAGGACATCAACGTATTAAACTAATGTGACATCATCCAATCGTCGCGTCTGTTCACCCAACAGACATTCGATTAAGTTGAGATAAAAACAAAAACTTGATTGGAACGGAATGGAAAAAGGTTATGCGCCTTAATATGATAGTTACTTTTTTTTGTTCCATTCGATATTCAAATTAGGCATTCACACGAAAATTCTAACAAATATAACATTGCCAAATCTGGAGGAGATCAAAGAAGAAAGAAAACTGCTCGTAATGCATAGGATGCGAAATTAAGCATACAATCACTTTAATCTCGAATATTTTTGTTGATAAATTTCCCCCACAAGCACTAATCGACAGTGCCAATTTTAGTTGTTAAGGGGACAATAGTACAATATCATGAGTTAAACAAAGGGTGGTTAATGGCTGATATAAGGAGACATGGCTCGAGCCCTCTTCCTTCTTTCCTGGAGGAATCTCTGCAGCGATCTCTTCATTGACAGGCCTGAAGATGAGGGGCTCCACAGCTGGGTCTTCTTCAATGGCGGAGATGAACCAGCTTTTGATTCCACTTCTCTGCTTGCAAGCCAAATGATGGCTCTTGCCTGCATCAGCAGAAACAAAGGGAAGATGCATGAGTGTTGATCTTTCCTTCTCCTTCCCCTCAAAATCGCTAACCGCCCTCATCTTTGCTGTTTCTGAAATGCATGAAGCTGTGCCATGATGGGATTATACAAAAGAGAGAGAACGATCACGATTCGGGGTTCGACAGAATCTGAAGATTAGGGAAAACTCCGGCACAAACCGAGCACGCGTTTATGCACCCAATTCACGCTGACCCTCGAATAATGTGGATCCCACGTGGGATCGGGGATCCAAGAATTCAGGTGTATGGATTTGCAAGTGCACCCAATAACCTTAAATCAAAGATTGAGGAGGAAAAAAAGGCAACATATATCGCTTCTAAGGATGAAATCATCCGTGAATGGTAAAACGATCAAGAGTGCACGAGAATTCATTATGCGTCATCTAACGTGTCCTGAAAATCTGTACACAAAGTATGTGGATCTGTGCATATATGCCGATATCATATGCTTCTTTCCTTATCGAATTTTCTGAGAAACATGGGCATTGCAATGGACTTCCATTCGAGAATTTAAATTGATTTACCTGAAACTCTGTTAAGTCAAAGGGACGGACTCGCCCCTTGTAAAAAATGGCGAGCTGTTGTTGATTTACTTGCGATTGCTCAGTCCTGCATGCATTCACATAACCATGTGCATCCTCATGAGCTTACATGCAAATTGCACAGCAATCACATCAACATCGATAATCATCGATAATCAACGAACAAGCAGACCAAAGAAACCAAAAAAAACACGACGATGAACCCGCGTAGAGAGAGAGAGAGAGGAAGAAGGGACGCACGTTGATGAGCTCTCGTCATAAGAAGGAGAAGAAGAAGAAGAAGAAGAGATGGAAGAGAGGAGGTGAAGATCCAGGTTGCAGTTCTTCCCCATGGCAAAAGCCGTAATCGAAACGACGGCGATTGGCGCGCTCTCGCTCTAGATCTTGTCAGATTGAGGATGTAAGAACAAACGCCATAACTGCACGGAGATGAGAAGGAGGAGGAGGAGGACGCAACGAAGATGAAGGGCAGTGACAGGCCGTAGCGGTTTTTATAGTGGAATTATTATTTTTTTCTCCCATTTTTTTCATATTTTTTGGGTTATTTTCTTTTATTTTTTGTTTTTTAAGTGATTCGACGTAGCAGAACACGAAAAGAAACGTTCGAACAGAAAACATCGGCGACCATGTAAAAGCGCACGTGGAACACGAGCGAGCGAGCGAGCGGAGCATGTGCGGGGAAAAAACTGAAAAGAAACATGAAAATGATTTTTTTCGGAAATTTCCACAATTCACATGCTTTTGCTTTTGGAACGGTTACTAAAATTGGAAACTTTTCTTGTCTTTAATTTCCCGCTTTTGGAGGAGGCGGAAATTGGAATGAGGCAAACGACTTTTTTTATAAATAATTACTTTCACGTGATCTAAAGGAATGCAAGATATTTACCTTCCGTTGCCCTCGTTTAATCACACGAATAAATTTCCAAAATGCAGCGCGTCTGACTGCAACACAAATTCACATGCAATATTTTAAGGTACGCTGATATGTCATGCCACGGTTTTTTCTTCGAGTCTCTTATACTCGGTTGCTATGATATCATAACACAATCTTCACGACAACATGTCGTGACGATTTATGATTACAACGGAGATAACGCAGCAATGCCCAATTTCATATAGCTTGTGGAGAATTTTGATTGGGGTATAAGCATTTCCTAAAGTGATTGCAACGTGTTATATCGATGGCTCGAGGTGTTCAGATAGTCCGTTCATGTTATCAGGTGAGGCCTGATTACCATGATATAATGAAGCCCTCGATAGTTACCGGTTGATGTATTCGTTACATTTTCTTTTTGGTTGCGCGAAAATCCAGTGATAGATCGAAAGCCAAAAAAGGATGCCAAAAAAAAAAGAGGAAAGGGAAAAATGGCTACGAAAATTCGGATGAATAGCTCGCGAGATGGAATACGTTCAAGAGCTGGAACACACGCTAAATGTTTGTTGAAATTCTAGGACTAACGTGCGAGCATGAGCTTGAGCCTGAGCATTATTAATTAGAGAAGCGAAGGCAGCGCCTGATGTTCAACGAGGTTCTTTTGCCTCTTCGCCATTTGCCGCACGTGAACAACGTTTGACAATGGTTCCACATGGCACGTGCGCAATTCCTCGGGCAAAGGGCTCTCCCCCGTTCCGTCAATTACCAGATGTAGATCCTCCCAATTCGAGGGCAAGTTCATGTGCAATCGCTCTCAAATGCTAAATCGCCCACCAAGAGAAGGTCCTAATTTTTGTGCCGTTGCCGTTGCGGCTGAGCCGCCTCAATTGCTGCACGTCCTAACAAAGTCGCGTGCGATGATTGATTGGTAGGCTTCCAATCTATTCCGATATCCTTTTTTCGATATATTTAAAGAAAAAATTCTCATAATTAATACTTATTTTGAGTGATAGAAGAATGGACAGCTGATCTGATAAGCGTGATAGAGATTATGAGCGCCAGCGGGCTTTGGGCAACAAAAACACAGTGCAAATTGATGATAGTTCTTGTGCATAACTCCGGATGCATTACAATAATGTGAAGATTCAAGTTGAAATATGTTAATGCAGAATAACACTTGCATTGAGGTGACCATGCCTAAGGCTGGAGCTCGCACATGCATATGCATATGTGAGTTGTGTCAAATTAGTCCATTTATTTTGCTTTTACAATGAATATTAGTTTATATGTGAATTGTTCATGTCTCCATGCCATTGAGCAAGTGCCATTTTTACTAATTCCATTCTAACAAGAGTTGGATTGATACTCCATACTAACTGCCTCCTCGGGACATGAACAATTCTCTACAGTCAAGAAGCAAACTTGTCAAAACGAGTCATAAACTAATTTCTTAATCCATATTTAATGAGCTGAGTTGTTATATGTAATAGTTATATTTAGTATAAAGGTCATAAATAGGTTTAGATTGGCAAAGCCCAAAACGATATGGACGTTAAATGAGTTTACAATTTACTTACACTCAACCCACCTCTATAACTCTCTCTTTAATCTTTCTTACCCTCACTTGATCTCGCGCTTGCCACTCCGCACTCTCAATTCGGTTTGGGTATGAGTTTTATTAAATTGGGTTAAATATATAAGTGTTTTAACAGTACGGGTCGGGTCGGGTCGGGTTGGGTCGGATCGAGTATGTGTCACTAGATTTGTATTGCATGAAAATTGATCAAAACGAATGAAATAGGTTAATTTGGGTCGGACTATTTTCATCCCAATCCAAACCTGACCCGATCCACCCATTTGATGGGTTTAGTCAAGATGATGCAAACATGTTGATGATCCTGTAAATTGAAGACCAATTTAACCAATCTAAAATATTTTGCTTATAAAATGGTGTGTTAAAACTGCGGTTGGAATATTAAAAGGTTTTCTACTTTTTTCTTCCTAAAAGTAGCCTAGTTACTTGAATGTGGATCTATATCAAAACTCAAGATATTAAATTGTAGATATGATGGAATTTATCTTAATGGGACTTTTCATCACATTAGACACTTTTGTAAACGTAGGAATCGCCGATTAATACTTGGTTTTAATTTAAATTTTCATAAGGTTTTGGGATAAAAATGTGACGAAAGAAATTAATTTTTCATTGAAAAATAATATCAAGACCGGTTTTTTAACTAAAATCAAACATAAGGACTAAAGTTGAACATCACAAAAGTACAAGGACCGAAAGTGTAATATTCTAGAAACCCGTACATGTAGGCACGACTACACAACTAGACGGAAGATTGAATACGGTCCCTAAAACTTGTCATTGGAGATAAGTTCCAGCACCAAATTGTGTCGAATTCTGCTTAGATAGTACTGATTGCAGAATCCCATAAAATTCGGTGCAGCGGCCGAGTAAAATCAACACTCAACGACGTAATTGAAAGACCAACAAAAGTATACCATCCAAGCCCGTCGTGACTTGCGAATTCCACTAACTATCCCGATCATCGGCGACGGATAATAGGACCGTATGAAAATGGGGACACGTCGGCCGACTCCCTTCGCCGGAAAACGTCGATCGGGACCGTGAACGTGTGCTGCTCGTGGAAGTTCTCGAAAAGGATTTCATGTGACGATGTTTGGCGTGCGGCTTCTGACTTTCTAGCTTTTGCAGTTCAGGCCGAACACAACGAATCTCAGCCTCACGAACCAGAAAGAGAAACTGACAAGAAAAGAAAAGAAGTAGAAAACAACGAGAGATATTTTCTTAGGTACGAGGGAGGAGAGATTTGCATGGGAAATGTGAATTTTCTTTTCCGGGAAAAAGTTGGGACTAGTCAAGGAGATATTTTTCTTTTTCTGAGGGAGGTCGTTGTATTGGTTGTGGTACCAATTCTTAGGCCCCAAGTCACATGTGCCCTTTCTGTTTGACCATCTCTGTTCTAGAGACGTGCAAAACGGATTACCCAAATCGGGAATCGCCCAGACCGGACCGAACTAGCCGGTTGGATCCGGTTCCTGGGAGTGTCAGTCCAGTTCCTGATTCCTAAAAGTGGAACCGATATCCGGGCGGTCCGGTTCCTGGTTTCAAGGGGAAATCGGACCGACTACATTTTTTTTTTTTTTTCAAAAAAATTAGTAAAATGTGAAATAAATCTTAAGTGAATTTTATTGACATAAATTCATTGACAAAAATTAGTAAAATGTGAACTAAGCCCTAAGTAACCGGTTTCATTGAACCGGTCCGGTCCCCAGTTCCCGATTTTGAGAAGCGGGAATCGATCGCCCATAGTTTTATTCACTTACGAATAAATTATGTCCAACGAAAATTAAAATACTTGGATCTAGTAAAGAACGAAGTTGACAGAATAATAAGGAGATAATTACCAAAAAAGTAAACATTTTAATTTAACCAATTTAGTCTTAAATCTTTCGACAACTCTGCCCGTATCTTGAATGTCGGCGTATGATTGGCCCGACAACTTTGCTGCGATTTAGCCAGCGGCGGAAATAGAAATGGCCCTCCCTCGTTCGCCGGAGCCAATTTTGCATGAAAACGAAATGTCTACTGAATAAATCAATACAACACTAATTAAAACAGCCAAGGACACAAATCAAGTATATTAGAGCAAATCCGAACAAGAAGCAGCAAGAAGAACGTTCCGAGGGTTCACAGTCGGCCGCAGTCGTATCGCGTGTGGCCGAGCCGGTCTCGGAAGAACAAAATTATCACCAATATGCAGATCAATTTCGCAACCAGCGACGTCGACTCGAGCAGCGACCCGATAGTGTAGGTGTTCGCAGACAACCGGACGAGCCTCGTCCTCCGTTCGCTTATATAGCTGTCCAATGCGCCACCTATTTTTTCCCTGCTTGATTCCCCGTGGTCTAGGGAAGCCATACGCAGCGCTAAGCATCGAGCTAGGACGATCGCGTCTTCTAATGCAGCGGACCCACCTTGTCCTAGGAACGGGCCCATCACGTGCATGGCATCCCCGGCAACCGTCACGGTTCCTTTCCTAAAGCTTCCGAGTAGCACTAACACGGCGCACGGTACCTCGTGCGTGTCAGGGACAACGAATTGGGCTCGCTGTTCTCGATCATCTCCAGGATTTCTGCTGGGAAGCCAAGCATTGATTCCACGGTCGATCGCTTGATCAGATCAGAGTTCTTTGAGATGGTTGAATCTGTCAAATGATGACACAAAATCATCACAAGATTGAGTTTTCTACGGCAAATTTGCTGATCAACAAGCTATAACGAAGTTGCAGACAACATGGCTATCACCAAAAAACCAGTTGAAGAGAACATGGAGGATTACATGAATCTTGGAAGAGAATGGCGCGAGAAAAGGAGTTACCTTGATGTGTCCACGGTCGGGCTATGAACCAGTAGACCGACTTATCGTCGAGTGGGATTCTTCCGAGAAAAACACGATTATGGTTTATCGTGACAAAGTCGTGAGGGTAACCGTGCCCGTCCGGATAAATTGTGAACCCCCTCACGTTGCATGTGGGTGACATTCTTGGCGGCCTC